ATTCTCGTTGTCTCCGAACAGTGGCCGATGACCTCTAAACTCATCATAATTGTCTTCAATTGGACTTTAAAACGTTTTTTATAATTTTTTCGAAATCTTATAATTTTTATTGATATTGATATGTCACCTGTCACATGTCACCATTGTCAACTGTCATATTAATATAATATATATAATAAAATATAAATACAAAAGCTATATACATATATATATATATATATATATATATATATATATATATATATATATATATATATATATATATATATATAGCTTAAATATCCCGTCTAAAATTAATATACTAAGAAATGTAAATAATGTAAAAAATAAAAATAATATACTAACGGATGAACTTAGATTTGACAGAGTTAATGTTGTTAATAAAAAAAACTATTCTTGGATTACTGGTGACCACTAGTTTGCAAAGAAGTAGAAGTAAAGTTGGTGATTTCTATATCCCGCTGTCAACTCTCAGAATCGAAATTAATGATATATAATTTTTCAGAATCGCACCCCTTTTCAAATGTCCGCTTATTTGGTTTGGATCAACAGAAGCTCATTGGCAAGTTTTACAAATAATGGATGAAATTCCTAATCCTGCTTACAATGTTGATATTTTTTCGATAAGCCGATCTCCTCTTACGTTTTGGGAGAGGACCATGGAATTATGGATGATCGTTAAAAAATCACTGATGATGAAGTACGTACAAAACATTATGAATGTCTCATTTATGGGAAACCATGTAAATAAGCTATTTTTTGACATCTCAATTTGCTAAATACTGGGAGCTCTTCAGCTGCTCTAAATTTGCATATGCCTCTAAGCGTTTTTTTGTATGCCTTTCTTACATGTTATAAAATATGTTAAATATTACAGTAATAACCTATATTTGGCTCAAATTAAAACAATTCCCTTGTCATTTACAGCTTAGTAGTGGTCCCATTCGAAAGGTCATTATACAATAGCGTCTTTCCATCAATTGCCTCAAAGAGGGGAGTCACAGTACCTTCATATGACGAAGCTATTTACAATGGATCACTTTTATTCCTAAACTCACATCCATCAATTGGTACACCGTTTAAATTACCACAAAATGCTAAATATATTGCTGGTTACCATATAAACAAAGATGTGAGTCCATTACCAAAGGTGAGTCTTTTAAATTTTAATAAACATTACTATAAAATCAGCTAAAATGTTTCAAATAAATGAAAGACTTTTCACAATTATGGCACGAACTTATAATTTTTTTTATAGATTTATAGGTATAGTATGGTTTTATTTTGATTTTAGAATCTGCAAATTTTAATGGATAATGCAAAAGACGGTGTAATTTACTTCAGCATGGGATCTAATTTGCTAAGTTCTGATATGTCTGAAACAATGAGAGATTCTTTGCTTAAAATTTTTGGCGAACTCAAACAGACTATCATATGGAAGTTCGAATCAGATTTGCCAAATGTTCCCTCGAATGTTCATCTTGTTAAATGGGCACCTCAAGCAAGTATTCTTTGTAAGGGTTCTTGAATTTCTAATAACATTAATAAGTTTATGTTATTCCTGAATTATTCAAAGAAATATACTTTCAGCACATCCTAATCTGAAGTTGTTCATTACACATGGTGGACAACTGTCGACCACGGAGGCTATCCACTTTGGTGTACCGGTTGTGGGGATTCCTGTAATGGCTGATCAACATGTTAATATGAGATCAGTTGAAATCAAAGGCTTCGGACTTGTAGTCACACTTGCTGAAGATATGGCTCCTAGAGTTAAAATCGCTATTGAAGAAATATTAGAAAACCCATCGTAAGTTACTCTTGGTTTCTTTTACTCCATTCTTAAATATCTTTGATTATTAATGTCCATATTACTATTACAAGAAGGAAAGATTAGTATTTTTGTTTGTAACAATTAAAATCCTTTGAAATTAGAAAATTACATAATCGCTGATGATGACTGATTTATTATTAGATTTTTATACATCTACGCAGATTAAGGTCCTGGGCAAAAGCTAGATTTAAAAAATTAAAGAGATGCCTAACAGCCTTATAGTAATAGAATTCATTATGTGTGATTGCTTTTTGTTTCTTGTAGAGGCTAATTATCGTTCTTTAATATGAGACTTATAAAGGCTTATTTTGGTGAACATAGCTACAACATAGAAATATTTTTAGTTACTTCTATAGTTCTTGTACTATCACTATGTGAACTCTTGTAGCTCAGATTGATTGTTTTTTTTTTCAGTTACATGCAAAAAGCCAAAGAGGTATCAGGCATGTTCCATGACCGAATTCTTCCTCCGGGAAAGGAATTGGTCCATTGGGTGGAATACGTAGTCCGTACGCGAGGTGCCAGTCATCTTCGTTCACCAGCACTCGGTGTGCCTCTGTATCAAAAGTTATATCTGGATTTTATCATTGTACTGATTACAATATTGTACTTATTGGTTAAAATTATTAATGTGCTTAGAAGAAAGTATTCAGCTTCCAAACCTAAAAAAATTAAAAAGAATTAGTTACAAATAAATATTATTCATGTTATTATAGTATTCATTGCTTTGGAAACAATTTTATTTAATGTTATGCACACAAAACATTTCTGCATAAAACTAAAATTATTATTATTAAGATTCTTAAAGCACAGATCATTAATGGCATCCTCAGAGTACTGCTATTCTGTTTTATCACAATCAGTCCTTCCTGTCTTTTTGTCGTCCCTGTCCTTATGAAATTTACCAACGTTTAATGGATAAACTTAACTTGTGTATTGTGTTATTAATTTCTTACTTCATAATTTAATTTTATTACACTGCGATACTGGTTGTCCTTCCATATCGTACTGGTCATCGAACTACGACCACATCACATAATACTTTATAACTGATTTACTCCGCTATCTTGCAAATCGCTACAACTTTTTTCACAATTATCCGGACAAACAGGTTGCGAGCGACTGGCTTTGGTAAACAAATAAAAATGTAGGCAACACACGCTGTGTACGAACCTTTAGGACAGTCTTTCCCAAAGTGGGCGATAACGCCCCCTTGTGGGCGCTGCAGTTTCGTTTAGAATTCTCCGTTAATGTACATATATAGGTCACAATCCTTAATTAATTTAATTTGAAGTTATAGTGGTTTTTTAATATTTCAAAATATGGGGGCGCTAAAAAAATATTTATTCTCAAAGTGGGCAGTAGACAAAATAAGTTTGGGAACCACTGCTTTAGGACATTGGATTGCGTAAATCGCTAAGCAACTGAACTCGTCGTGTTTCAGATTTATATTGCCTTATGATAAAAATATAAGACAAATACCAACCCGTCACTTTTTATAGAATTCAAAAAATGTCATTAAAATAAATAAACTCAAGTAAGTATAATATTACGGATACTAAATTGGATAGGGAACTTACATTTACAATTGTCAAGTTCAAGAAATTAAACGAAATATTGAGTTTTCTAACTCTATAATTGTTACAACAATCAAATAACTTATAAAATCAACTTCGCTTTTTACTAACATTTATATTGAGTTTCTTATAACCTATTAATCGTTTGATAACAATAGAAAATATAACAATAATGATTATTATTAGAAAAATAAGATCGAGGTACAACTTTTGGTACCAAGGAACCAGAAGTGCTGGAGAACGAAGATGTGGGGCGCCTTTGGTTTTTATAACATGTTGCACCCAACGAGTAATTTCTGCCCCCGGTGATGTGGTCCGGTCGTGGTATATGTAGTTAAGTTCATTGATACGATCACCGTAACTGAAATAAGAAATGTATTTTCTTTTATTTCTTCTTTCTTGATTTCTTATTTCACGTGTGCAAAGAAGTACGAAAAAAATCTACTTAATAGACAATTACAGTTGTTGTTTAAAGTGTTAAATACTGATTAACTTTTTTATATCATTGAAGACTTCTTATAGGCTTACTTAAGTTATTTTAGACGTTATAGATAAATATTATAAAAACAGTAAAATAGCATAAAAATGAAATAAACAACTCTACGTCTTGCTCCACTAACTTATCAACTTACCTCGAGTTTCCGAGGATTTCTTCAATTGCAAGTTTCAAGTTTTTGGGAGTGTCGTAATTTAAATCGACTCTCTTGCCTATTCCCTTAGCAGCCGCCCTGTTTATATTAATAAACTGGTCAGCAAACATTGGTATACCAATTATAGGAACTCTGTGGTGCAACGCCTCAGTCGTTGATAGGAGACCACCATGGGTGATAAAAAGCACGCAGTTTGGATGAGCTGGTAAAGAGAAAACACAAAAGATAACAATGGAAACATTGCCTTGGTCTTTGGATTTACGGTATGGACTTCTTACTAATATTATAAATGCGAATGTTTAGATGGATGGATAGATGATTGTTTGAAGGTATCTCCGGAACGGCTGAACGGATCTCCCTGAAATTTGGCGTAGATGTAGAACATCTGGATGAACACGACGATGATGGCGACAGCTAGTAATAACATAATTGTAATGTAACCTACCCAAAATACTCTGCTGCGGAGCCCAGTCTAACATAAAAATATTATTTGGCTTGTCAGGTAGCAATCCTTCGAATTTCCAAATAACTTTTTGTTTTAATTGACCAAATATTTTTGCCAGTCCTGATTTTATTGCCTCGGGCATTTTGCTGCTTTGAAGCATGGAGCCCATGCTAAAGAATATAAATCCATGTTTAGCTTCATCCAATATCTTTTTTAAATCCTTTAAGAAAAATAAACGTTATTCATTTATCTTATTATTATAATTAATATTTTAAATGGGCATGTTTAGATGAATTTTTGTTTGAAGGTATCTCCAGAATTGGCAACGGAACTCGATGTAATTTTTCATGGATGTAGAGCATAGTCTGGAAGAACACATAGGCTACTAATTTTGTATTTTCCTATTCCGCGCGAACAGAGTCGTGGACAACTAGTTTTAAAATAATTATCACACTGGGCCTACTATGATCGATGGATTATCTCGCACTTACATACAGGTAAGCATAATTCTATCCTTTTGCGTTACTTCTCATATGCTATTTCTCATTCCTATCCGGTATATCTACTAGTTATGCTTATGTGTATATTGCATACTATTTTGGTTCATATTTTATTCACTTACCTTAGATAATGGTTCGATGTTACCGTCAATATGATATCCGCCTATTTCTATGAAATTACGCGGAAGCGGAATGCCATCAGAAGTTGATATATGTGAGTTTCCGAACATGAGAGACGCGTTGTATTTCATCTCATCTAGAGTAGGGAGGATCCGCCCTCTTCTAACCACAGCTGATTTAAATGCTTTATCGTAAGAATTAACATTCCGATCATTCACCCACCTGGAAAAAAATTTGATGTCGAATCACGTGGATATGGATTTCTAAGTAAACATATAAGGATTTAACCATTATTTAAAATCGAATTTCTAAATTTTTGGTTTCTAAGATTTTTTTTAAAATATACAGGTTTTGTAAATTTACTTATATTTCTTGTACCATACCAACTAAGCTCTAGGCTTGTGCTAGGATATGGTTTATAGATTGAGATACTCCCAGACAGTGTCCTGCGATTGTGTTTTTAATATATTTCAATATTATGAAGCGTTTATATTACTTACCAAGTATAAATCTTCCAATCCAAAAGCGTCACTAATTCTTGAACTCGCGACCACAATGTAAATGGAGGAATTGTGTTGGACTTGATATGATCTGCGGTGTAAGCTGGATTCGGTATTCCATCTATCAGCGACAATGCCATATTATGAGGGCTTACAGATAAAAAGAACATCAGTGGACAGTTGAAGACAGCAGAAAACCTGTAATTATATTATCATCATCAGCTCAATACTCGTATACGTCCCCAACGAGGGGCTTGGCGCCTACCCTAAGCTAGCTACTAGCTAAGCGTGATAAAGCCATAGTCAACCACGCTGGCCCAGTGCGGGTTGGTTGACTTCACACATATCTTTGAATTTCTTCTTAGATATGTGCAGGTTGCATCACGATATTTTCCTTCGCAGTAGGAGCGTCGGATAAATGTACATATGTGAATTGGAAAACGAAAAACATATTGGTATTTGGCGGGATTCGAACCCAGAACTGGCAGATTGCATCTCCAGTGCTGAGTCACCGACGCTCGAGGATTCAATGGAAATTATATATTTTGGAAAGTGTTAGTTATTATAAAGATGATACAAATATGACTTAATAAGTTTGTTACAATTTCTCACTTCCAATGAATTTTATAATACTTTAGATGTAGATATGCATGTAATTTTTGCAATGTAGCCAATGCCACTGTGATAGTTAAATCGTTAATCGGACGATCACCTTTGTTTATCTTATGTTTATTACAGTGCTTTATTGACGTTGTTTATCTTTTCTTATAAACAGGAAGCCTCGTGAAGTATCGTTGAGGTCATAATATATGGTTTTATCTTTAACGATTGCAGATATAAATCGTAAAAGGTCTCCCTTGACTTCTTGACTTTTGTTTCCATATTCTTGTTCAGTGTTATTATAATCACAGGTTTTCACTATACGAATTACACGAAAATGTTTTGTTTTTTTCTGTTAATTCCTGTTATTTTTATTATCCTACTGATAACAAAACTGTAAAGAGGGTAATGTATTGTGCACATGTGCAAGTGAGTTTGTATGTAAATTCCTTTGGCTTAAACAACTAAACCGATTTTGACGAGTGTGGTTTTATTCGATTCGTCTACTTTTCCGAATTGACTTTTACTATATCTTACTAAATTTATTTTTATTTTAAAACATTAGCAGATTTTTGTTAATTTACTTATATTTCTTGTACCATTCCATATAAGTTTGCTTGTGCTAGGATATGGTTTACGAGAATAGTCGAATGGTGGGATTTCAACCTCCGACCTCGTGATCGGAAATCCGTACCCTTAACCATTAGGCTATTGACGCTTATATATTCGAAGTAGATGCATAAGTTTAAAGCTATTTAATAATGAAGTTCCTAAGGAAGTTTTCCACCTTAACAAGAATAATTCTGTGTACCCTTAACCATTAGGCTATTGACGCTTTAAATTCAATTTTACAACAATAAATATTTTAATTTGCTTTACTTTATATACCTTAAGTAGTTATAGCAGTTTCTAATTACATAGCAGTATGTAATAACATATATTAGCAAGAGTTTAGATTATAATTAATTGTGCGCTTAGCTATATAGTTTTATTGAAAATTATTTTTTATGTTTTTTTTATATCAAAAGATCCCAAACGAGCAATCGGCCACCCGAAATCGCTGAAATAGCGAAGTGGCCGCTGCCCATAGACACACGCAATCGCATATGCATTGCCTACTTTTAATCGACGGAGGAGAGGATGCACAGAAAGAAAATATTTTCCCTTCCCATGCATCCTCTCATCCGGAAAGTCCACTTCCACTTCCCATCCTTTCCTTCTAAGAAAAAGGGTGGGAAAGGAAAGAGGACTAAATTAGGCCTCCGGGACGCACACTCATCAGACGAAACGCGGAATTGCTTCCACTTCACGCCTGTCTTCTTTGTGGTCGTGGTATTTCACCGGGCAAGCCGGGCCGATTCGTGCGAAGATGTTAAAGCGGGCTCTACCACTGTGATGAATGATTAGAACCTATTGTACACAAAATACAATCTACTTTTGAAATTGCATAATAATAACGGTAGTCTTGCAGTTTAGAATTGAAGTATTTAAGTACTTACTACAGACTGACAAAAAAATCTTTGTGAAAATTTAAAAATAATTTAATAATTTTTAACCAGTCATCATTCTTGTTAACCATTGCACGTCTCATCACGTTGTACTGTAATTCTATTCTTGTCTTTGTTTATTTACTATAATAGTTGACTATTTTTCTAATTACAAGGAAGTTTCCATCAGAATATGTGAAGGTCAAAACTCAAGGACAGAAACAGTTGGATTAAAACTTTTTGCTTAACATATTTTTTTGAGTTCGGTACCTCGAAAGGAAAATAAACGGAACCTTTATAGGATCAATTTGTTGTCCGTCTGTCTGTCAAGACAATTTTTTCTTAGGAACACGTCAAGATATCAAACTGGAATTTATTTTCTGAGATAGATTAACTGTTTAGACGGTGGAAAACCTTTTATGACTTACCCAGAATATAATTCACTATACATCCATTCTGCGATTACTGCATCAAACTTTTCTGTAGGATCTTGAATTAGATTTTGTACATTTTCATGTTGTATTGTTGCGTTAGCAATATTAAACATCATTGTAAACAACGTCGGCATATCCTTCATATCAACTTCTTTCCTCATTAACTTTTGAATGTCGAGTACTTCTTCTGCAATTATAAAGAATAAAAACCGTTAATTGTGATATACGTTAACGGTTAAAATTAATTAGATAATTATCATAATCTTCATTATTAACATTTGTTACAAGTTCACTGCTTCAAAACATCTTTATCTTCGCTTAACGATTTTGATTTGATTAGTAATTATTCTAAACAACTTTGAATCCCCGTTATTTCAAAACCATTTATTCAACCTAAATTTTCTTCTAACTTAAAGTTTCTGACTCTATTAGAATTTTATGCTGAGTCTCAGCTTTAATGCAATAAAATAAGTCTGACGACCACGTGATGTCATTACTTAGTCTTAGTTAAATTGTACAATGATAAAATAAACCAGTTTCTTTGCAAAGCAACATATGTAACAATGTATCCAATTAATCTGTTTAATTGCAGTAGATCAAATGGTGAAGTGCAATCGCTATGGTAAATATATTTTTATAGTTTTTTAGGATATTCTTTACCTTAAGGATTGTTAGTGATGTAACATATAATTCGGAATAATCCAATAAAATCTACTTGCATTTGCCATACAGATGAATAGAGGTATCTTAATTCTTCCTAAAGTTGTAAATGCGTAGATTTGGATGGATGTATGTACATAACATGTCCAAAACATATTAATGGATCTAAATAAAATTTTAGACTAACAGATTGCAGTCTGAAATAGTGTATATACCGCTATTTAAAAAAAAAACGGAACCCATATAGGATCACTTTGTTGTATCCGTCTGTCTGTTAAGACCAATTTTCTCAGGAACGCGTGAAGGTATAACGCTGTTTTTTTTTAATTCCACGCAGTTGAAGTGCTGAGAACCAGTCAGTATTAAAACATGGTAAAACAGAGATATATTAACAATTAGCTTTTATTACAGCATATGATTAAATCGTTGGCAGGTGTGAAAATGTTAACATCAGATAAGTAACGGATATTGTCATTTTCCTTATCCACAAGTAGAAATAAATCATTGCAAGAAATAATTAAGACAGTGGTATTAAGTGGACCAATTCCATCGTGGTATGGATTGGGGTTATTTAAATTTTTACTTCGTCTTATTTTTTTAACCCTTATCTTATTAATAAATTCAATAATTCATCATCAGCTCACTATACGTCCCCACTGAAGGGTTCGGATCCTACCCTAAGTTAGGGGTGACTAGGCCGTAGTCAACCACACTGGTCAAGTGCTGGTTGGTTGACTTCACACATCTTTTTGAATTTCTTCGCAGATATGTGCAGGTTGCATTATGTTTTCCTTCACCATAAGAACGTCGTATAAATGTTCCTATGTCAATTGAAAATCGATAAAAATACCAAATACAATAGTTACCAGGCGCAAAACAGTTTTTATTCGATTCAACGTTTATTTGCCGCAATGCAGGATTGACATCTTTCATTGGAATCGGAGTTATATACGTCACCTGGAATAACAGTAGAATAAATTATTATTATCAAGAGCAATAAAAATTAAATATATAAATAAAAAATCTAACATTACTTCAAAGGTTTCTTCTTGTTTTAAAACATCGTAAAAACGATGCTACAAAAACATCTCTTATTTTTATGGAAAAATTTATTTTATATCATTTACATTCAAGGCACAACTGGTTTATAAGAAGAAAAAACAAAAAGATAAATGTTTTGCTTGTTTTAAGTTTATTAAAATACGTAAATTACAGTCTGTGTCCTCGATGGCTCCTTACTAGTGCTATTAATAGAAAATAATCGTAAGGAGTTAAAATTATCGTAAAGCAATTGTCATTATGAGTAACCAGTGTAAATACACAAACATTTACACATTGTATTTCTTAACAGACATAAACAATAGATATACATTGTTTGGAATATTATATACGTTTTGTTTGCATATCAGCTGGTCGTCCTCGCGATGTCATTTATTGACTTTGTTGTTTTGATATTTATGATGAGCTAGCTATCGCCCGCGAGACCTTAATAAATAGCATATGTGTTCTGCAAGAGTATTAACCTAAATTTCACCAAGATCTGTTGAACTGTTCTGGATATGCCTTCTAACAAACATCCATCCAAACTTGAGCATTTATAATATTAGTAAGACTAGCTATCGCCTACGACTTCGACTGTCTGGAATTAAAATGTATAAACTTACAACTTACAAAATTGTTTGCTATGTCTTTTCAGATAAGAACATATTAAGTAATTTTTCTAGATCATAATGGAGCAAATTTCTCATGCAAGCACCAGGACATGTTATACATGTTAATACCTCAATAAAGAAACTTTGATTAAAAAAAAATGGTTCGTGGAAATGATCTATTTTTTTTAAATGAAATGGTATCGACATCTACCAGGTGATATTTCGGCGGATGGATGGATGTTTGCTAGAATGTGTCTCCAGAACGACTGCAAGCCTCTTGAAATTTGGTATAGACGTAACATAGCATGGACGAACACGTAGGCTACTAATTAAGTTGAATTTATTCTGAAAGGACACTATATTGTTGTAAATAAATGAGGCCGATATCGCGGGCGATAGCTTATAAACAAATAATCATTCCCAATATGATAAATCATTCTTAAATCATTTCATTTATTATTCCCACTTACCTTATGTCCTGCATTTAATAAATGTCTCACGAACGCATGCCCTAGGATAGAATGACTTTTTCCAGGAATGGGAAATACAACCAACAAATTATTAGCTTCGCTATAATTCAACAAACATATTGTTGTAATCAAAATTAGCATCAACCGCATTGTTAATCACTTGGTCTTTTAATTAAAGGAATAAAATAGTTTGAAAGAAATTTAAAAAGCACACAGCGCTGTTTTACGACTCGATTGGAACGAGTCTTACACGAGAATAAACGTTCACTTAGTTGTAAATAAAGTCGAAGAATAATACTATGTTATGACAGTTACACAAGTGCATATTGAGACAGAAAAGTAGAACAGTACAATACTGTTTTAATAGTAAGCGTGCGTTCGTAAATAACACTACTACACTGTCTCTTGATTTGCCTGCGATGTTCTGCTATCGTGTGAAGCTAGCATTTAGCTTAAAGTGCTTCAATACTTATGCTATAGGATTCTAATTTTTTACTATAATATGTACCTTTTAATGCACAAAATATATTAATTTCGTCTAAATAAATACTCTAAAGTCTGTACTCAATATTGTATGTCAATGTAGTCATGCCTTTGTGATTGTAAAGTCCGACAAATGCATGTTCATGATAGGTATATCAAGGGATTAGAAATTGATGTAAATAAAAACTCAACATTTATTTATTAGTGTTTATTTGTACGCGACTGATTATACGACTGACAATAATGTAATGTTTGTCGGGCGTATGCAAGTTTTTTTTTATAAATGTGGGTTTATATGTATGTAAATTTATGTGCGACAGCCTAGAGGTTAAGCGACTAAGTTGTGAAGTGTCATTCATCTTGGAAAATCATAGGGTATGTTAGGGAAGATACCCATTCTACGTGACCTATTTTTTAGTTTTTTCTAAGTTTTTTAAGACTGCATGCATACTTAAATTACTAGTTAATTATGTATTATGAAAAACTAATAAAACTAATGGCTACCTCACATAAACCCGAGACAGCCCCCCTCTCTTGTGACTAACCGTATAATTTTAAAGACTCCCCCCCCCCAAAGCGGGTCACGTAGTATGGGTACGTTCCCTTACATCGGAACAAACAACGGAGGAACGTAATACGTAGTAACACGTAACAAAATACGTAACACACCGATGTAGGAAGTCAAATTCTAAATAAGTGAAAAACTACTTCAAATCTCACATCATGTCATAACTTTTTGTAGCTTAATTTATTTTTCGATTCTTTGAATAGATGGCGTTATCTCATCAATTAGAGCGGCTTTTATTTATTTTATTATAATTGCAATAATCAATTGTTTTTATTGAATCGGGAAATAATAACTGCAAGATTACACTGCATCTGTACAATGACGTAAATCTTTCTGTATTCCCAAATAGCATGAAAGTAATGCAATATGATTTTGGTACACGAATGTCGGTAATAACCCCCACGGCAATATCCACCTATGGATACGGGCATTCGATACTTCACTGGTTGAAGTTAAAAAGTCATTTCTAGATCAATTGAATTACCAATTTTACATTAGAAAAAACAGTATTACCTTTAAAATAATGACATATATGACCTTCTAAGTCATCACCCATTAAATCCCACAAATTATCCAAAAAAAAATCTTGTTTGGTAACGTTGACTATTCAATTTTTGTCTTATTATATTGTCGCTGAATCACCGTCATTAAATATTTAATGATAGCAATTGCTATAATTATTGTGGAAATAATGATTGCTAGAAGGTCAAGATACAATTTCTGGTACCAGGATAACATGAGTGCTGGGGAGCGTAAGTAAGTCGCACCATTACTCCGAATCACGTGTTCTACCCAATGTACGATCTCCTCGTGAGGTTTCAATATTCGGTCGTGGTAGATAGCTGATAATTCCTTTGCTTTGTCACGATATCTGAAAAATAATAAATAGAATTGGACTCTGCTTACAGTATCCGATATTGCTATTTCAAAGTCGTAAATTATACATTATAGTTATAAAATGGTTACCTCGAATTATTCAAAATGTCGTTAAGTGCAACTTTTAATTCATTAACGAGTGAATAAGATAGGCTCACTTTCTTGCCGAATCCTTTCTTGGCCGCTCTTTCTGCATTAATAAATTGATCGACGAAAACTGGGATCCCTATTATAGGGACGCCAAAATATATTGCCTCGGTTGTTGATAGTAAGCCACAGTGTGTTATAAACAGTACACATTTGGGATGTGCTAAAAATAAAAAGATATATGTTTACTTTTTTGTAACCAGCTGTCGTTTAGTAGCCAGTAAGTAACGGTAGCCAGCCGTTCAGGTAATATCTTCAAACATCCAACCATCCAAACATTCGCATTTAAAATATTAGTAAGCTATGAAACCACGTAAATACTTTAAACAAATTTTTGGTGTTAAAATTACCTAAAATACTTTGTTGAGGAGCCCATTTTACTATGTGAACGTTAGTTGGTAAATCTGCCAATGTTTCTTCGAACTTCCATAGAACAGTTTGTTTCAAATCGCCAAATAATTCTAGTAATTCTTTCTTTATCTTCTGAGGCCAGTCCGTGCTTCTTAAATTAGATCCCATACTAAAGTAAATAACACCGTGTTTTGCGTTATCCATGATCTGTTTCAAATTCTGTAATAAATTAAATTAAAAAAATTTGAAAATCATCAGGAGTTTTCACAGCCTAACCTACTTTTGGACCTTGATCTTTTAATAAACATTTAAAAAGCTATGTGTCCATCAGTAAGGTAAGCTTAAATAGTTACCTCTGGTAATGGTTTCACAATTTCTTCTATATGGAAGCCTCCAATAGGTTTATAGTTCTGTGGTAATCTTGTGGCTTGACCTAAAATAGCGTGTGAGTTGCCCAGTATCAGAGAACCGTTGTATCTCACGTCATTATACTTTGGAACCGGTCGCCCTCTTTTCGATAGCAGTGGCGTGTAAATTTCGTTAAATATGTCTTCAGTATCTTTGTATGCCCATCTAAAAAGTACCAATAATAAAGATTAGGATTATTTAAATGTGGAAAGTAAATATATTACAAAAAAAAACTTACATTTCTCGATAGAAGCTTTTAGATATCTGAAGCCACAATTCTTGAACACGTTGTGAAAACGTATAAGGAATAACATTTGCTGACATACTATCCGAATTATAAGCTGGGTTCGGTGCTTCGTCAACTACTCTCAAAAATAACCAGTGAGGTTCAAGAGATGAAAACCAAATTAATGGACAATTGTACAACGTTGATAACCTGTAACGAGTAAACCGGTACGACAAAAATGTTGTCATCCCTTTCATTTATGTTGGAAAAAACTGGGATAACGATATGATTTTGTGCCGTTACACGATTATTGGAACGGTAACTTACCCAGCATACACCTCATTATACATCCATTCGGCAATAACAACGTCGAAACTCTGTGTTTCGTCGTTTAATAATTCCTGTACTTCTTTCATTTGCATCGTGACCAAACTTAGATTGTCCATTATAGGGAAGAATAAATTGTCGTCGCTCATATCCGATTGGTGGTCCATTATTGCTTTGATATTTAATAAATCGTCTATAAAAATAAATTATAAATTTAAACAATGTTCAAATACAAAGGTCCCATTAGTTATATTTTGACCTTTTTCAACTTCAGACTACGTTCCTTTTGTGACTGATTGCTTTCGGTAACGAGTATAGATCGCAGTTTTCCAATGCATAATAGATCTTACATACAAACAGAGATAATATTTCTTCCGCGATAATTATCAACCTCTTTCAATCATATTTCCAGGGATCATATTTCCGTGGCCGTCCTAAAAGAACTTGGCGGCGCCCAGTAGCTGCCGACATGAAGGCAATCGGGCTGACATGGCCCGAGACCAAACGCAGAGCCAAAGATAGAACGAACTGGCGGCGCACTGTGGACGCCCTCTGCCCCACTACGAGGACATAGGACTTTAAGTAAGTAGTAGTCTTTCAATCGGGCAAAAATAGACTAAGGTGATAATATCGTAGTAACCTTAATAGAATTTGTTAAAATTTACCTGGAAACGTTTTTATATTAGAAGCTACGTTGATTACTGTAACATTTGAAGATGATTTTAATTTTGTCATCGAAGAAATAAAGGTAACCTGCAAATAAATAATCTAATTGGGTTTAAATATCTTAAATTTATGTTTGGTTTATTTTAAATTATTGTTATTAGATTTTACCACGTTTATTTTAAAGACTGACCCTATCTTAAGTTAAGTTCATTAGGGACAATGTCGTGTACTTTGAGATTTACTAGGTTTTTAAGGTTTCTAGGTTTACTAGGACTTACTAGGTGTCACCCGCGACTCCGTCCACGGAGGATTAAAAAATAAATAGTAGCCGATTGCTAGACCTATTGAATATGCATGTAAAATTTCATAAAAATCGGTCAAGCCGTTTCGGAGGAGTATGGTAACTAATACACGAGAATTTTATATACAAGATATTATCGAAGCGAGGATCACATCATTTCTGTAAATATCTCGCAGAGACTACTTACCTTCTCATTATTATTTAAGTGACATTGAGTCGTCCGACTCTGTGTTCTGTATACTAAAATTGAATGTAAATTAATCGGTATTTTTTCCGTTATTCGAGCGAAAGCATTAACATAATATTAGTGTACTCATACTTACATCTGACGAGATGCTATTTTTTGCAGATGATATTTTTAGCAAAAAATAAATAAGGAATTGATGTATTTAAAAACACCTTAATGTATCTTTTCGGATTTGCGACGAATAAACCTTTTACAATGTCTTTCTGGCTTTAAATGCGCTTTTGTCCAGATATGGAAAATTTTCTTACGTGAAACATAAATTCAAATTGCAAAATACCTTATGACCGGCATTCGTGAATATTCTGATAAAGGCATCACCCAATATTCCATGGCTTCCACTTGGCAATGGTGACACTAGCAATATATTATACGCGATACAAATTGTACCTAACGTTATAATTATGAATAATTTTATAAACCACATCACAAATTCGTTAAAAGCACTAAAACATTGAAATCTACTTTAAACTTTTTAACTACGTGAAATACGTGATTCCTTCTCTAAGGTTCATTTATACTAACCAATATTTATTCTTAGTTCAAACGAATTATTATTCAATAGTTGTCGTCGCAACTACGTCAGCGTGGAATTAACAAAACTTGTTTAGTAGCCTATGTGTTCTTCCAGACTATGTTTTACATATGTGCTAAAATTCATCTAGATTCGTTGTACCGTTCTGCACATACTTCTAACAAACTTGCATCCATTAATCTATACATCCAAACATTCGCATTTATAATATTAGTGAGAAGTTACATGTATGTTGTCAACATTTCAAGTACTGCCAAAATCTCATTTTTAAACATTTATAGCCTTTCATTTTTGTTTTAATGAATTATGTCATCTTATTTTATTACTTCTTCGCTTTGTGGGTGCTTTGGTCTAGCAATTTCTTCCTAGACATTTTATGTGTGGAAGCAGCTCTAGAATTTGGTATTCCAATTTCGTCTTGTTGTATTTTGTACGTATGAAAAAATGCCAGCTTATCAGTATAGATCTTTCTCCCGCTATTTTACTTAATTAGATAAATACTAGCTGTCGCCCGCGACTCCGTCAGCGTGACATTAAAAAATAGAATATGCATATAAAATTTCATAAAAATCGGTCAAGTCGTTTCGGAGTCGTTTGGTAACTAACATTGTGACACGACATTTTTACATGTAACTAGCTGTCTCCCGCGACTCCGTCCTCGTAGATATATAAAAAAAAACTTAATATACAGATAAGTTAAATAAAAACAGCTCTTCAAGGAATAAATTGGAAAAAAAGAATAAATAGTATCCTATGTCCGTCTCCTGGCTCTAAGCTACCTCCTTGCCAATTTTCAACCATATCGGTAAAGCCGTTCTTGAGTTATAAATAGTGTAACTAACACAACTTTCTTTTATATATATAGACATTTAGGTAATTTCGTAAGTACATCGTTACCTAATCGGTATCATCTTAATTGTTTATCAAATTAATTTAAATGCATGTTTCAAATTATAGTTTGGTATGTCATTCAGTTTTGAGAAGTGTTCGGAAAAATGCGTCTAATCAGTGTTATATTGTTTTTAATAATAAATGATCTATGTTCAGCATATAAGATACTTCTGATGTTCCCAGTACCGGGAAGAAGTCATGCGATTCTTGGCGAAGGTTTTGTTCGTCATCTTCTGAATGATGGACATGAGGTATTTCTTTTCATACATTTGATAACTAACACAGTATCCATTTATTTATTCTAATTATTTTCTTTGATAAAAGACAATATATTTTTATACCATCGTATCTAACACCAGTTACAATTCATGGTGACCTAGTACTAACATTCTGACAACTGCTTTCGAGGTTTTGGTTAATTTTAATTTTAAACTTTTAATAAATTAATTCAAAGATATGTGTGAAGTCAACCAACCCGCACTGGGCCAGCGTGGTTGACTATGGCCTAGTCACCCTTAACTTAGGGTTGGCTCCAAGCCACTCGGTGGGGACGTATAGTGAGCTGATGATGATGATGAATAAATTAATTTGAAAGTCATAAAATAAATTAAGTATATTTATTTCATAATCTAATCGGCCAAAACCCATGTTCACTATTGTAGTGTACGCATAAACGTTGTGTTGTTTGTCTCGAGCGTAAAAGCCATAAGTACGGAGAGAGAGGGCGTGAGTCGATGTCAGACCTTTGGACCGGCAACACAAGTCGGTACGTGAACGAACCAAATAGAACGCAACGAATGCTACAACTATGTCAATAATTCCCTTTAGTGTTTTTTGGGCAAGCGATGTTAATAAAGGTCTATTTACTATTGTAATTCTAATTAACATTTAATGGTATTTTAATTGTATAATTTTAAAAGCAATTCATATTTCATAACACTTAGATAAACGTGATATAGACCCCAATTTTTTGGCAACTACCATAAATGCCTAAGGATTTTTAAATCGTATGACAGGTTTAGAGTGAGATTAATCTGTCGAAATTTTACTAGTAATATAAATACGAATGTTAACATGGATGGATGTTTGAAGGTATCTTTAGAACGGCTGAATGAATCTCGATGAAATTTAACATACACATAGGATATAGTCTGAAAGAACGCATAGGCTACTAAATATGTTTTTTTTTTCAACTCCGCGTGAATGAAGTCACGGGCGAACGCTAGCCGATATTCATCTGGTATTCTTTTGGAGAAAACAACAGTAAAATTTTGGTTTGGAGCTACAGTGAGGAACAGCAATTGTTAAATTGTTGTTTTACTGCAAACCAGACCTTAATAAATTAATTCTTTGTATACAGGTAACTTATATAACGCCAATAATTATGAAAATGACGCATCCGAGATTAAGACAAATTGATATATCAAATAGCAAACTCATGCCTCCAGGTAAGAACAAAGTTTTACGACCGAGTATTATCTCAAGCTTAACAATTCAGATATGTAAATTATAGATAGTATTTCACTCTTATTGACCATATTACCTATTTGTCTCTTTTGTTTTGTTTTCTTTAACGAAGTTGTTTTTTTTTTAAAAAAACTTCGTTAATTTTGAACTCTTTTGAGAGCCATTGATCGTCGATTAATTAAATTTTTTTTAATAGATGTTAGGGTAGTAAAAATAATAGATATTTATGTTTCAGATCAAATGTTTGATACACAAAATATTTTAATGAACAAATGGGATTTTAAGAATATTAAGTTTATGCTATTTGTGACAACTAATTTTGTTAACGGTACACTCACTCATCCGAACATTCAGCGTTTGATCCACGACCCTAGCGAACAATTTGACGCTGTTATCGTCGAATGGCTTTACAGTGAACTTTATGCTGGGTAAGTCTCAATAAATAGGCCCTTTATTTCTACCTATTGATTTCCATTCACCGATTCAACAATTTAAGGATCAAAGCTAAAAACTGTGCTCCTAAAAGTTCATAATCTGTCAAAAATCTAACGTCATCTTTCTAAAACCCTTAACTAAATTGCAGATTTGCTTCAGTATTCGACTGTCCGCTGATTTGGTCGTCTTCTTTGGACCCACATTGGTTGGTATTGGACCTAATTGATGAAATCCCCAACCCAGCGTACAATCCTCAGCATCTCGCCGACATAGTGACACCATTAGGTTTCTGGAATCGGGCGGAAGAGCTATGGCATGTGATACACACAAAATATTTCAAGTGGTAAGATATGTAATACTTAAAGCAAACAATAATGCATCCACTTAACAATATCATTGGAAAATACGCCGATTCATTCCACAATTCATATTCTCGACAGTTTTTAATATGTCCTGGTCCGATTAAAATGGTTCGAAGTTCACTATTATTCAGTGTTACGTAAGAACACTTTAAACTTTTTTATTGGTACTAAGATACATGTTGCTTTCAGGAGACTTAGACATAAAGAGAATCATATTTTTGACAACGCATTTGCATCGTCTGTTGCTTTGAGAGGGAGAATTTTACCGCCCCTCAACGAAGTAAGATATAATGGATCTCTCATCTTGGGAAACTCACATTTATCTGCAGGTACTGCTATGCGCTTACCTCCTAATTATATACCAATTGGAGGTTATCACATTAAGGAAAATATTGATCCATTACCATCGGTAAGTTAGTTATTTAGTGTGTTTAACTATTAAAAAAAAACACTTCCTGACTCTTGGGCAGTGTTGATAATAGACACTTTTAGAAGAGATATCAAACTTCTTAATAATTGTTTTAATGTGGTAAATGTAAAAAAACTTAAGCCGATCAATCTTACCAGAACCTACAAGATATTGCCGACAATGCTCGAAACGGATTCATTTACTTCAGCATGGGATCGATGTTGAAAAGCAGCAGAATCCCTGATGAAATGAAGAAAGGACTATTAAATGTATTTAGCAAATTGGATCAGACGATAATTTGGAAATTCGAACAAGAATTACCTGATCGACCTAATAATGTACATATAGTGTCGTGGGCACCACAATTAAGTATTTTGGGTAAGTAAGATAGATAACAAAAGATATCATAGAAACGAAGTATGTATAGTCTTCTACTTGAAATTTAAAAAAAACATAGACAAAAAAGGAACTAATGTTAAAAAGATCTATGAATAAAACATCTTTACTTTTCTTGCAGCTCATCCAAATTGCAAATTATTCATCACCCATGGAGGTTTGTTATCTGTACTTGAAACATTACACTTTGGTGTTCCAATTATCGGTGTGCCCATGTTCGGAGATCAGCATATGAACATAAATCGAGTTGTAGAAAAAGGTTTCGGAATGAGAGTGGATTTGAACGACGACGTTGTGGGTAACATGGAAATAGCTATTAGAGAAATATTGGACAATCCAAGGTAAATAAAAATTATACTTATACTTTTTTAATCACCAATGAGCGTCGATGGCTCAATGGTTAAAGCACTTGACTTGTGATCTGCAGGACCTTTGTTCGAATCCCGCCACGTACCAATGTGTTTATCGATTTTCGATTTATATATGTACATTTTATCCAATGTTCTTACGGTGAAGGAAAACATCGTGATGCAACCTGCACATATCTGAGAAGAAAATCAAAGATATGTGTGAAGTCCAATCAACCCGCACTGAGCCTGCGTCGTTGACTATGGCCTAATCACCCCTAACTTAGGGTCTGCCCCTCTGTGGGGACATATAGTGAGGTGATGATGATTTTTTTAAATCATAGAAAAAAGTCTAAAGAAAAGGAAGATCATCTTAAAAGAATCAACTGATTACAATGTCTTTAAAATATAACTTATCAATGTTGGTACAAAAAAAAGAAGATGAAAAATTTAATGCTCCGTTAAATTGTACACTGTTAAGTTTAATAATTGTTTTTTTTAACATAATTTCAGATATGCACAGAAAGTGAAAGAGTACTCATTTATCTACCACGATCGCTCGACATCACCAGGACAGGAGTTAACACATTGGGTTTCACACGTTATACGAACGAAGGGTGCTCCACATCTACGCTCCCCAGGGTATATGTTGCCCTGGTACCAAAAACTGTATTTAGATTTAGCAATTGTTATATTTGTAACGTTTTACTTATCTGTTAAGATTTTATTTCAAATATTCCGTCGAATACTATTAACATCTATAAAATTTGTTGAGTCTAAACAAAAAGTTAATTAACTCTTTGTTTGTACATTTATTTGTTAAAATTGTTATTTTTTTATGTATAACAAGAGGTAATTTGCGTAAAATTATTGCAGTTAATTCAAAGTTGCTTTAGTTTTAAATGTGTAATTTTATTTTGATTACAACAACTTTTTATGAATTTTTATATGAGTCATCTTAGTTGTATTTATTTTTAAGACAATTTTAAAACGAAAGATGTCAATATTTGACAATTAGACTATTTTCCTAATATTTTTATGACTACCTTTTTTATTTTATATCTAATTAATTTTCATCACCAAAGTTCTAAGTAAAATGATGATATCGTATTTAAAACGGACAAAATTTTATGTGTTTTTATACAATTAACTTTTACCATGGCTGTGTTTATAAATATTTATAAATTTTTCATCATTGTGATTATTTGTCATGAATGTGTTTGTTATAATATTTTAGTTGTAACACCAATGCCTGTTATAAGTCATGCTATTTTAGGCAATTCTTTTGTTAAATTATTGCTAAATGCAGGACATAAGGTATGTTTCTACATGTTTAATTCTTTGACGAGATTTTCTAAACAAATGTATCAAAATAAAAATAAAAACTTCACATTGCCCCAATTCGCAACGAAGAATACTTTTGAATTACAGTTTATTGAAATACTTGTATAAATAGTAGATCAATTTATCATCATCATCAGCTCACTATACGCCCCCACCGAGGGGCTCGGAGCCTACCCTAAGTTACGGGTGATTAGGCCATAGTCAACCACGCTGTCCAAGTGCGGGTTGGTTGACTTCACACATATCTTTGAATTTCTTCTCAAATATGTGCAGCTTGCATCACGATGTTTCCTTCACCGTAATAACGTCGGAGAAATGTACACATGTAAATCGAAAAAACACATTGGTACATAGCGGGTTTGAACCCAAGACCTGCAGATTGCAATTCAAGTGCTTGACCCCTGACCCACAGACGCTCTTCAATTAATACTTTTCTAATTTAGGAAGTAGTTAAGTACGGACTAATTTACGAAATGCTTCTGATTATAAAGATATTGCAAGTTAGTGAATTAAATATATTTTATTTATAGATTACACATGTAACTGGAATCCCTTACAACATATCTCATCCGAACCTACGTCGCTTTGAAGTTGATTACTATCTTGAAAGTATACCAAGTATGTATTTTTTGTTTTTAAAATTCACGATATGTTATCAAATATAAATTCTACTAATAAGCATTTTTTAAATTCAAAATATGGTGTAGAGATGATGCATATGTAAAAAGTAAGTCCTTTACTGCAGATATCTCAGACTAATTTCTGCGTACGGTAGTTAATTTTATTACACTAAATAAAAGTTTAAGTATATATTAATCTGTTATAATTAAAAAAATATTATAGATATGGACAGTTCTAGAGCTTTTGGTCGTATTATAAGAGAGCTATTTATTTCATCTCTACGTGAAAAGGATGTGAACATGTTACTTAGGGATACTAAGGAAAGATTTGACTTAGTTGTGGCCGAGTGGATGTTCAATGATTTATACGCTGGGTAAGCTATAGGAAATAACGCTAAGTATCTTTGGTATTATCATCATCAGCTCACTATATGTCCCCACCGAGGGGCTCGGAACCTACCTTAAGTTAAGGGTGACTAGGCCATAGTCAACCACGCTGGACAAGTGAGGGTTGGTTGACTTCACACATATCTTTGAATTTCTTCTTGGATATGTGCAGGTTGCATCACGATGTTTTCCTTCACCGTAAGAACGTCGGATTAATGTACATATGTAAATCGAAAAACATATTGGTACATGGCGGGATTCGAACCCAGGACCTGCAGATTACAAGTTAAGTGCTGAAACCAATGAGCCACCGACGATCTTTGGTATGACAGTTAATAATATAAATTAATTACAATTTTTTTAAAGTAACATTATTCGTAAGGCACGTAGTACAAATCCTTGTAAAAGTTAGAATAGTGTTAGAAGATCAAAATAGAGGTAGACATTAACTGAAGAGAGAACTCTCTCGTTAGAAAAGCAAAGATGGCCAAGAGTAGTTTATGGTAGAAGGTATGCGTTGATTTTCCATGTTGAAACATCCATAATAATGCAAAAAAGACTTTATGATGGTTTTGTTTGAATGTTTGTAGGATTTGCAATCCAAAATTGCAGCCCACAAACATAGTAAAGAATGTTCTAAAGTATGTAATTAGATAATTTGATTAAGAATTTATGAAACATAAGACATCTACTGATTTAACAGATTATCAGCGTTATACGATTGTCCTTTGCTTTGGTTTTCCGCGACAGAATCTCATTGGATGATGCTACGTTTACTTGAAGATACAATTAATTCACAAGACAAAACCTCTAAATATATCCCTCCGTTTATAACAAGTTATATAATACAAGACATGTAAGTACACAGATAGATTAGTACTATCCTAAAGACAATAAAATGCAACCCACTAACCAGAGAATTGAAAGGAAATATAAATTCTTAAAGTAGAGAGGTAGAAGAAATTTTCTCTTTGGTATTGTAAGTTCTTGAATGAGCCAGTCATAAAACACATCGACATAACACGTCTTGTTGAAGATAATGTTTCTTCTTCTGTCGGCACGATCAATACCTACCAGGCAAGCATAACTTCAAACACATACACGGATTTCTTTAATTTTAATATTGTGCTATTTTTAAGGTATTTATATAATTTGGAAAAAGAAGCTTATGAAAATATTTTTACTCCGTTAATGGACTTAAGAGGTAAAAGTCTAATAAAATTTGAAGAGTCAAAGTATTTTGGTGCCCAAATATTGGTTTATCTAAATGTCTTACCACACGAAGCAAAGAATTGGCCACGAAAATTCAAGCCTATCGCTGGATATCATATTGATCGTCAAGTGGAACCATTACCGAAGGTATTATTAAATCGAATATTTTAAATATTAAATACAGTGAAAGAAAGAAATAAAAACAAAGCTGCACTCGCCCACCAATGCCTTATCTAATATATAAAATTCTCGTGTCACAATTTTCGTTCCCATACTCCTACGAAACGGCTTGACCGATTCTCATGAAATTTTGTGAGCACATTGAGTAGGTCTGAGAATCGGTCAACATCTATTTTTAATCCCGCGTGGACGGAGTTGCGGGCGACAGCTAGTAGTCTTATACGTAACTAAAGGACCAAGGATGTGACTAAGAGTAAAACCAATTTTTATTGCAGGATTTGCAAAGTATAATGGACAATGCTAAGTATGGTGTTATTTACTTTAGTATGGGTTCAAATTTGAACAGTCAAGATATATTGGATGGTTATAATGAAATATTAATGGAAGTATTCAGTAATTTAAGACAAGTTGTACTCTGGAAGCATGACTTAAAGTTTTCTCATTTACCAAGTAATGTTCACGTTTTGAAATGGGCACCACAACAGAGTATATTATGTGAGTGTCTTTACCATTTTTTACAGTCCGAAAAATGTCCGACTTTTTGGTTTTTTTTTAACTTTTATGTATTAATAATAATTTGTAACAAAGTACTCAAAACTATAGGAAGACAAAAAATTGTAACCTGGTGAGATATCAATAACCATGTTAATAACAAATCCATTTCAGCTCATCCAAACTGCATTCTATTTATGACACAAGGTGGTGCACTTTCGTCAATAGAGGCGTTACATTTCGGAGTAGCAATACTTGGAATACCAATTATCGCAGATCAATTTACAAATATTGAACGTGCTGTCGACCAAGGATATGCTAAACAAGTAGATTTTCCATATTCCACTGGGGAAGATATAAGGGATACCATTGAGGAAATGATCAGAAATCCAAGGTTTGCACAAATCAAATTACTAGGATTATTAATGCAATAGAAAATAGGGGTACTAGAGTTCTAAATTGAACTCTAGTACCCCTATTTTCATCATTGATCATCCAGTATCAATAAAAGAAAAAGTTTTGGAATATTCAACTTCTGTTCATCATATCCTCTCAAAATCTTGGTGAACATTCAACTGTTAGATGTCTTTAATTGTGATGAATTTAAATTTTGACTTCCTGTTCCCATAAACTTATACAAAAGCTAAGATATTACTTGATTTTTTATCTCTTTGTTGAAAGGTTTCGCAATAAAGTAAAGGAATTATCAAGAAAATATCACAATCAGTCATCACCTGGTACGGACTTAGTACGTTATGTGAGGAAAGTGATTCGTGCTGGAATTACTAAATACAGTGCACCATATGAAACTTTGTATTTGAAGAAGATATTTATAAATTTAGGTTTATGGGGAATAATCTTATTGACTTCGCTTCGATTTATATTCAAAAATTTTATCAGGCTTAGAAGGTCTAAGAAACTGAATGCATAATTTAGTGTTGTTTTTTATGTCTTTTACTTTGATTTTTATTACTTTTGTGATGTGTACAATTTTTTAGATTTTTATATTTTTTGATATCGTTTACATTTTAATTTTTTATGAATAAATGATTATATTTTGATATTTCTATAAAATTTGCATTAATATCATTTTGAAAATTTTTATTTTTACAAAAGGAAAAACCTCTTCTATTCTTCTCTTATGTTTTCTATACATATTATTAAAAATGGATTGTCTGTATATAATGTGAAAAAAAGTCAAATTTCTTACACGTGATGTACTTGCGTTGCTGAAAACGAAAATCTAATTATGAAATTTTTTTTTCCTGTTTGGACTGATTTGTCTGGAAAGTAGCTGATACACGCGGGCGCATTATACGTTAGTTTTTTTTTATCCTGCGCTATCGAAGACTGGCCATCTCTAGTATACACAACTTATTTGCTTTTGCCTAAATAATTTTTGTATAGTTCAATGTCAAGAAAACATGACAAAATAAAATGTCATAGTTGATGAGGTTATATTTTATTGACATTTTATTTTTTTATATACAAACAATACATGTATTTCTTAATTGTTTTATTTATTTTATATACTTAACGTCCTTAAAGTGAATGGATATAAATTAATTAATGCGTTAACAAACAACACTAACCATTTTATGATATCCAGGCTTAAGAATAACATTTATCAAAATTTCATAAAATGAATGTATTTCAATTTTTAATATTGTTTACCCTTTACATCCCATATGGGGATGTACATAAAATTTTAGTGATCACACATCTACCTATAAAAAGTCACGCTATTTTAAGCCACGTCTTGGTCAAATTACTCCTAGAAGCAGGTCATGAGGTAAGTAAAAAATTGTCTCGTTAAATTACAGGTTCCATGATGATATTTTCGTACGAAATTGAATGCCAGGTGAGTCAATGGGACTAAACCGGTTTAATTGGTAGTCATACGTTTCAAGATTTGTATTTTTCTTTTCTATCTTCATCATTGTCATCCTTACAAAGACATCGGTCTCTTTGAAGGAGGAGTTCCTATCTGAAATCTCGAACTTAAATAATCAAACGGTACATAAATAAGTTAAGATTATTATGAACTTAAGTATTTTCTTATTCAGATTACACATATCGCCATGTTTCCATTCAATTATTCACATCCGAATCTTCATCAAATTGATGCCAGCTGGAACGAAAAATATACAAGAGGTAACGTTCGAACAATTACAACTACAACTTCATTTTTTTGTCTAATTTCCTTTTCAATAACATATTAATTTTATTCCAACAGGTAACGATTTGCAGTTTTATTCCCAAATTTCATCAAAAATATTTACAGTAACATTACAACATAAAGATGTGGACAAACTCTTCAGAGATACGACTCAAAGATTTGATTTGATAATAGCCGAGTGGATGTTTAATGATATTTGTATTGGGTAAGATAATGAGTAATAAGTATCCTTTGAAAGCTTAGCGTAGGCTTTGATGACCTATAAGCCGCGAATTTTCAGCGTAGCAGCGCTTTACGACTGTCCATTAATTTGGTTCTCTGCATCAGAATGCCATTGGTCTTTGCTTCAGCTGATTGAAGAGTCTACAAGCACATATACGATGGGACGTACTTCAAGAAGAATTGAGTCATTTGAATCAGCGTCTCTAAGAAAAGAAGCGTATGTTCCTGGCACGATTTTTTTATAAAATTATTTTTTGGCTCTGAATTCTCCAAATATATTGGTTCCTCGCTTTCCTAATCTTACATTCACTTCATGTCAACTAAATATAACTATACATTTTTAAAGCACTTAAAAATATATTTGCATCTAAAGGTATTTACGCAGTTTCGACAAAGAATCTTTCAATAAAATATTTGAGCCTTTGATGGCTTTAAGAGGCCAACCACTCCGTCCATATGTCGAGTTGATGTACTATTCTTCTTTGGTGCTGGTCTACTCTCGTGTTCTATTGGGCGACGCTACTAGATGGCCAGAAAACTTTAAACCCGTCGCAGGCTACCATATCGATCAAAAAGTGAAACCATTACCAAAAGTACTATTTCAATTTTATTTAATTTTGATACGTTATTATGTTGCTATTGTGAAAAATGCAAGATAAGTTATATCTTTAGGGCCACATAGATTTAAATCGAGGGCCATATCTGGTGCTTAAGTTTATTTATGCTTGAAACTTAGAAGTCTTAAGAATTGTTTATCAATTTATTATGATTTTTGGCTAACACGTGTAGTTACTAATTGAACTTTGCTAGTTTGGAATGACACAAGAGAACTACAATGATAAAATTATAATTTTCTTTAAGGATTTAAAAAGCATAATGGATAACGCAAAATATGGAGTCATATATTTCAGTTTGGGTTCACATTTGAAAAGCAAGGATCTACCGGAAGAATTTAAACAAGAAATTATTAATATGTTAAGGGAATTGAAACAAACTGTACTTTGGAAACTGGAGTCAGAATATCCGGACTTACCTAATAATGTTCACATCATGAAATGGGCACCACAACAGAGTATCTTGGGTACTTTTTGTGACAAATTTTGTAATTAATGATATATTTAAAATGTTTTGTTCATTTTGTAATATGTTTCAGCTCATCAAAACTGCGTCCTCTTTATTACACAGGGTGGTATACTTTCATTGACTGAAGCAATATACTTTGGTGTCCCAATAATTGGAATACCAATATTTGCCGATCAATTTACTAATGTCGATAGAGCTGTAAAAGAAGGTTATGGAAAGAAAGTGGATTTTTCCACAAAAGAGACAGTGAAATCAATAAAAGATGCGATTGAAGAAATGCTCCATAATCCCAGGTAAAGTACAATTCTTACTGATTTTATAAATGCGAAAGTTTAGATGGAATGGATCTCGTTGCAATTTGGCATACATGAAGAATATAGGCTGGAAGAAAATACAGCCTACTTATTAAGTTTTTTTTTCTAAATCCGTGGAGACGGAGTCGTGGGTAATAGCTAGTTTTTAAAAATTAATGACGCGTTTTACTAATTTTTTTTTGTCTAACTTTGATTTTCCACCGCCGAAATACTGGTAATTTTTTTTTTCAAAAATAAGAGAAAACGCTAAACAATATTTCAGGTATTATACAGCATTCGAATCCCTAGATAAAAAACTTGGCTTTATGTTAACGCATATTTTTTTAATAATATGAACTTTTTTAAACTATTTTTAGCTACCGTATCAAAGTAAGAGAGTTATCATCCATTTATTACAATCGGACAATACCACCCAGCGTTGAAATAATGCACTGGATAAATCAAGCAATACGTACAGGAGTCCCTCGTCGAACTGAAACGTTCATATTTCCCAGATATTTTAAAAGTTTCTATTTATTTTTTTTACTTATTATTTTTGTTATGATTTTTATACGATTTATTTTTAAACAGCGCCATTATTTATTATTGAATAAAATATTTTAAAATCTGACTTATTACTATATTATATTAATAATCTATATGCAAATGTTTAGATGGATGGATGGATTTAAAGGTATCTCCATCTCGTTGGAATTTGGCATAGATGTACAACATACTCTGCAAGAACACAGACTACTTATTAACTTTTTTTTTAATTCCTCGCAAACGGAGTCAGCTGGTTTTAAATATCCTTCTTTCTTTTTAACAGCCAGTGCTTATTTTATGTTCGTTCTTTAATTTAAAAATATATCACTGATTTTCAGACATCTGTCATATTTGTACAGACTTCTGTTTTACATACATATCTTATTCTTCTCTTATTGGATATTTGATGAACGTATTTATTTACTGGCCAACTAATTTACTTTATACGATTTTATTAATATTATTTGGTGTGGAATAAACAATAAAAGTACTAAAATAGCTATAGTAATGTGGTTATTGGGCTTCTTAATTTTTTCTATTACGTCATCATTGTGTACAACGGAAAAAATCTTAGTTTTGTCTCCTGTAGCGATTAGGAGCCACGATATTTTGAATCAAGCGCTGGTGAATATACTATTGGAAGCAGGCTATGAGGTGATTTTTATACATTTACTCGTATTATAAATGACTTTAGTGCGTACTTTTGTAACGAAATGTAATTATTTTAAGGTGACTCACATAACGGTAACTCCACGCAAAAAACTTCATCCAAAACTTCAACAAATTGACGTAAGTTCTAACACAAAAGCGGGTAAGTAACTATTAATGAATTACTAGCTGTTACCTGGGACTCCGTTCTCCCGGAATTAAAAACTAATGTGTTATTCCGGACTATGTTCTATATGTATGCCAAATTTCATCGAGATCCGTTGAGCCGTTCTGGAGATACCTTGAGACAAACATCCATTTAAACTTTCGCATTTATAATATTAGTAAGATTTGTTAACTGTCTCTAAAATAACCGTTCAAATAAAGTCAACAATGAATCAGGAAATTGTTATTCTAATATTATTTTGCTAATTATTTACAGCAAATAGAGTAAACTTAAAAAGTGCTATAAACTCCCCGAATGGAATTGAAAACGATAGACATTTCACACAATTTGCAACGAAAATGTTTACCAAAGTGTTGCAACATAGTGATACTTATAAAATGCTGACGGACACTACACAGAGATTTGATTTAATAATATCTGAATGGCTGTTCAACGATATGTATACTGGGTAAGGGTTTTATATTGATAAATAAAACGTCTTCGTTGGTAAATATATTTGGTTTGATTAAATTTCCTTTACATTTCCATTTAATATTATTTTTAATTAATTTATTGACAGCCAACTCTGATATATAAGTATGAGAAGGACGTGATAATTCAATGAAATTTACTAACCTGTAATATTTTTTTTAAATCAAAGACTTTCCATCGCGTATTGAACGTTTCTCCCAGCTGCAGGCAGCTTCCAGCAAAGATACATTGATTTTAAGGGTTTTTAAATTTGTTTTGGTGGTGGAAGCTCTAGAGGACTATTTATACTCTCTCTCTCTCTCTCTCCCTAGCTTGCATCCCACAAGGTGGTGGGGTCAGCTTTCCCAATCCGTCTCTCCCACTTCGCTCTGTCCATGACATCTTCTGAGATTCGGCACTCAAGAGGACTATTTATACATGATTAAATATTTCAGATTGGCAGCATTATACGACTGTCCATTGATTTGGTTTTTCACAACGGAGCCACATTGGATGTTACTACGGACAATTAACAAGGACACAACTACGCCAAATTTAGTTAAGGATATGTAAGAAGATATATGTATTATTATGAATTAGAGCTAATATTATTAAAATAATTTAACTTGTACAGCAAGTAACTTATTAATTCGATGCAGTATTTGTTATTCTTTCACATTAAGAACTCTCTAATAATATAAATGCGAACGTATGGATGTTTGTTAGAAAGTATCTCATGAACTCATCTCATGCAGCGTAGATCGCAATGAATTTGGTTTATATATAGAATATTATATATTTAATTCCTCGCGGAATGAATCGTGGGCGACAGCTAGTGTATAAAATATGATTTCTTCCAGTTATGAAAGAGGTGCGTACAAAAAGGTATTTAGTCCACTGATGGCATTGAGGGGCAAATCTTTCCGCACCTATGAAGATATGATGTCCATCGCTTCTTTGGTATTTATGAATTCTCATCAGGGATTGAGTAAAGCAGATTTTTGGCCAGAAAAATTCATACCCGTCGCCGGATACCATATCGATGAAGACATAAAACCATTACCTAATGTAAGTAATACTGTTATGATAAAATATTCTAGTACTAAAATGGCGGTTTAAGTTTACTCATCGATGTTTGTAATATAAGATTTAAACTTTATAGATACTTATGGTTAGCTAAAATGTCATATAACCTATTTACATTGCCAGTAACCTACATTGTGGAACAACTCATGGAAATTTGCAAGCTGACATTACATTTGGATGGTATTTTACTAAAAGTTTATATTACTATATTTTTATTTTATAGGATTTAAAAATTATTATGGATAACGCGAAGTTTGGTGTAATATACTTTAGTCTGGGATCATATTTGGATGGTCATGATATATCAGAAGAACAAATGGACGACTTGATCGATATGTTTGGTGAATTGAAGCAAACAGTTATATGGAATTTAGATTTAACATTCGTACGACTACCGAGTAATATCCATGTTATTAATTGGGCACCGCAACAAAGTATTTTAGGTTAGTTTGCAAATATTAAATTTCTTGGTACTTTATATACTTACTTCGCTGGCGCATCGACCCAAAGTGGATCTTGGCCTCCGACACAAGAGATCGCCAAAGTCGCCTGTCTTGAGCCTTCTCCTGCCAGTCCATCTCTTGTAAACTACGTATGTTCTACATATATGCTAAGTTTCAAGCAAAATCCATTCAGCGGTTTTTATAGGTAAAAGAAAAAAGTTATTTCTACGGTTTCCCAAGGAATTATACGAATTTTTCTCACCTTTTAAACCTTCCCTAGAACCCGACGAACATTTCAAGATAAATTCAAGATAAGACAAGTAATCATATTATAATAAGATTGTGTTGTTGTGTTATGTTTCCAATTGTAGGACTTGTAAGTAAAGGATTGTCCAGTGATAATGTTCGTAGGTTTTTCGTATCTATAAGGTGTTTAAATCTTGTGTTTACTTTTAGTAAGAGTAAATTATTAATTCTATTTCAGCTCATCCCAACTGCATTCTATTTATAACACATGGAGGTGTAATTTCTAAGATTGAAGCTGTTCACTTTGGTGTACCGACAATTGGTATTCCAGTCTACGGTGATCAATTCGCTAACGTTGACAGTTCAGTGATGAAAGGCATTTCAATAAAAGTTAATGTTTCTGGATTTTTGGCGAGGGATATAAAAAATGCTATCGTTGAAATGCTAAGTAATCCAAGGTACGTAATATCTTCTAACACGTTTATGCTTACTTTCCAGCAAGCAAGAAACTTGTAGCTTAAGGATAAACAGGTTGTAAACTTTGATTAAATCTCAGGACTTGTCCTTTTCGGGTTTAAGTTTAATAATTAAGCATATTTGGGTATCGATGTCGGGAAAGAATCGAGGTGGTTTGATAAAAATCAACTGATGTCTTGTTCTTCAATATTACTCGTTCCAATTTTAGTATATTTGTGTGATCTAACTGTAGTTATGTTTTCAGTTATCGTCAAAACATTAGGAAGGTGTCAAGCTCGTTCCACAACCGGACAATTTCGCCTAAAGAGGGATTATTGCACTGGGTCAATCAGACTATTCGTTCTGGAGTTCCCGAAGTACTTAAACCAGGTCGAGCAGCCATATTTAAGGAAATATTTGTTTCAATTCTTGTTATTCTACTTATTTTATCCACAATCTTCGGAAAACAGATTTTAGAAGGCTCCCAAAAGTATAAAATACTTTAAGAGTTTACTACAAAATGAAGAGATCATTTTTTTTATTATCAAGTACGTTTTTGGCTTTGATACTTGCTTATGACTATGAAGTACCATTTTTAAAACAGTGAAAATGATCTGAATTTGGTTTTTATAACTGTGTAAAAAAATGTTGCCAAAATTTGAATTTGTTTTAATTTACAAAGCTTCACCCTAGTCGGACCATGTAAGTTTATCGGAATCTAATTGGTGACGTTTTCTTTATAGTATACTAGAGTTGCTCGCGAATTAAAAAAATCTAATATAGCCTACGTTACTCGGGGATAGTGTAGCTTACCTATAGTGAAATATTTCAAAATGGTTTAGTAGTTTCAGAGTCTATTCAATGCAAAAAAAACAAAGCTTTCCTCTTTATTAGTAAAGATAAGAATTGTAAATGTTTACCCACTTTATATTTTACTAGCTGTCGCCCGCGATTCCGTCCGCGTGGATATACATATATAAAAACTTAATATGCAGTTAAGTTAAATAAAAAGCAGCACTTCAAGGCATAAATTCGAATAAAATGAATAAATAGTATCCTATGTCCGTCTCCTGGCTCTAAGCTACCCCCTCATTAATTTTCAGCCATATCGGTAAAGCCGTTCTTGAGTTATAAATAGTGTAACTAACACGACTTTCTTTTATATGTACATAGATTAAACGGTTTTTAATTAAATAGGTTAGGGTCAGTTAAGGTAATTAAATAGATATGGGTCAGTTAAGGTAATTAAATAGGTAAGGGTCAGTTAAGGTAATTAAATAGGTTAGGGTCAGTTAAGGTAATTAAATAGGTAAGGGTCAGTTAAGGTAATTAAAAAGGTTAGGGCCAGTTAAGGTAATTAGATAGGTTAGGACCGGTTAAGGTAATTAAATGATGGAAAAACTAAGATTCATCACTTATAATGGTCCATATTATAGAGAATAAAATCACAATGCATTAGTTTAATTACTTTAAACAATATAACAGACATTATGGAGTATTAACGGTGAATATTTTATAATCTACGTATAAATAGCATATAAATATAAATGTGCATTGAATTACAAACATTTAAAGTCAAAATTCAGAATACTGATATTTAATTAGTGTATGTTGAATATTATTAATATTATTTTTTTTATATAATTCAAATTTCAAGACAATATTCAACATTGGAATGGCTATTTATTAATTTTGTGATATATTTAAAATTCTTAGATATTTAATAAATATAAATTTAAAATAATTATTATAAAAAGTATTATACGTTTAAAGAACGTATTTTTTAATATCTATATTTTATGCATTGAATTTGAGTATTGCTATTGCCCTTTTTGGGAACCATAATGTCTAAGCTTAGATGCACAATATTATACACGGTTATTTTAAAATTACAAGGAAATTAAATATGTATTGTTAAACTTTCTATGTATGTGTGCGCACGCACACATATTGCAATTGAAGAATACTTATTAGGAGAAAATTTCTATACTGATTTTTTTTATAATATAATGAGTACCGACAACAGCTAATGCTGTATTTTTTCTGGTAATTACATAATAACCGTGTATACATGAATACATTTTATTTTTGATGACGCACTATTTTTTGCAAAGCGGTTTTATCCGGTTTTTACTAAAGCCAAATTTATTAGGCCCAAAACATATTTTTAGATGAACTATTAACGGATACAAAATTATAAAGGTTCAAGCTAGGGAGCTTAAGCCTATTAAAAATACGCTGAACATTATTTTTTTTTGATGCGGAATAAATCTGATCATTTTATAGACTCCTAAGTCCCTATTGATTTTTGATCCGCAAATCAGTGAGCTACTATAGTAATAAATATATTGTAAAATATGCACCAAAGTTACTTACATTTGTGATATCTCAGGTAACTACAAACACATAAATATGAGATTTCAAATTCTCCGTAAAATATCATAATTTTTTTTCTATTTACAATTCCAATATAATAATATTTTTGTGATATTTGGTTTATTAATTGATTTCCCAAAGAGGAATTTAATTTTTAATAAATATTTATATAAAGTGTTCTAGAACTTTCTAAAATTTTTCAGAAGATTAAAAAAAAAACAATTTGTACTTGCTTTGAATTTTCGTACCGTGTACTAAGAACACTTCATACAAATCGTTAATAGAGCTATAATAAAATTTTAACAATATATTTTATTAATGAAAATTACAATCTAAATATTTACAAATCAGACTTTTTACAAAAAAAAAACTTACAATACAAACGACCTTTACAAATATTTGCAATTCACGACCCACAAAGTGACCATTGTAAAATTAATTTTACTATTGCAAAAATTGTAATTTATTTTACAAACTGACAAAAATTTAATTTAAGTGTTTTGTAGACCAACCTAAAGGGTCAGCCAATTTCCTACTAAATTGTCATCATTTTACAAAACTTTGGAAACTTGAGTCTTTTGGGATTATAATGTGTCTATTTAAGATAGATTAGTTTGACAACTGACGCCTATATATTATCGAATTAATTTTGTATGAGCATTAATGTTGTACTTAATGAACGGTTGTCATAGTGTCGAACCATCGCGCACAACCGTGAACTATCGAAAATCGGTCTTTTAATAAAATTAATCCAACAAATGGGTATTTTAATTTAGGTATTTTATAACTTTTTGAATTTATTTATAAAAATGTTTTTATTCGTCAACACCGCAATTTTTGGTTTAATGTCTTATTTCTTTGTCCTTATGAAGGATAAAGTAGGAATAGAAAGAAACAATTTTATCTATATTGTAATTCAAAGACAATAATCACGAATTTTCGATTGCATGTTCTATGAGAAAAACCATCGAAAATCGAAAAAATTCTTAAACGATTTTACTCAACCCATATCTAGTGTATTTTCAAACTAATCTATCTTAAATAGACACACTATAGAGAAAAAAGCTTTGTCTAGGTCTCAGCATGACCTATTAATATTTTAAATTATAATACTATTTTATATTCCTGAACACAGGACAGGTACAGTTATGTGCTTTACTGAAAAAAAAAATTACATTCATATACAAATATGACTAGTGATATGTTATGATAACTTTATAATCTGTGGTAAGTTTGCGCCAAAATAAGATTACATTTTTTTTAATCTAAGACAAAATTTATATCACATAATATATTGTGATGTTTAATCCAGAGTGCACCTTGAAAGGGTCTAAATATTTTTTTTATAACCTAACCTAACACACTAACTTTACAATAAAAGCAGTCAGGTTTTTTGGTAGACCCCACTAGGGTTTTATTATTAGGATATAAACATTTAATTATGGAGGTAGGTAGTGAATTTTAAATCTAATAAGTATTCTTTTGAATTATGCATTTTCAATCAATAAACCTTTATTTACAAGAAATTGTCAATGATTTGGTCTCGTCTCTAGATATCAAAACATATTCTCACATTTATACTTTTGAGAAAGAGACTATCGATAATCGATTTCATGAAAAGAAAATCGATTTATACATCGATATTTTTGTATCATATAAACACCAATAGTTGCTAAAATATGACCAAAATATTGCATCCAATAATTTACATAAAAAATAATTTTCTTGGATTATGATGCAACACTTATTTGGCGATTATCAAACATATCGATGTTGACAATCTACATCCCTATTCGAGATAAAAACTTTGACGTTCATCCGTCATACTTAAGCGGTGTTCAATGTGAACACAGCTTAAGTGGAATGTTTGGATCATACGTTCGACTCCGGACCTTCTGTGTTGTGCTTGAAGGAAGCCCTGATCCTCGCTAGATACAATGCGCAGATGTGGCCGTAGCATTTATTATACCACTCTGGTGTGCGACCCCTGTAATTATTCACAAATATTAAATCAGTTAAATCGATGAGATTTTTGCTATTGCTATGCAATTGGTTATCTCCTTTTTATTTACTTATTTCATTGTACCCATGGAACAACAGAAAACAAAAGGTATTGAAATCATAACTCACTATAACACTATAAAAGCCAGGAAAAAAAACAATCATGGGGGTTTTAGGAACAAAAAGAAAAAACAACTAACATTGTATCAACTCGTGCGAGATGCACTAGCCGGCTGCGGCCTTTTCCTGCAGGTTGGGCGAGATACCGTGAAGCAAGTACAACACCGCGCGCGCCGACCGCTACGTTAGCCGTACCCGGAGCGCTCGTGGCACCAGGTAAGCCCGGCGCACCTGGAACAGCGCCAGCGTGTGCCACCGAAGTCTCCGCTACCGCGCACCATCCACCGCCGCCACTGCCACCGCCCTGCTGCCACGACCTAATCACAAATACATGACGTAACGAGTTACAATAATTCGAAATCAATATGACAAAATAAAAATTAGTAGATTAAGGGATCTTACCTTAATACGCAATAGTCCCTCGGTGGTAAGTTGATGCTAGAAGCCGTAATGTACTGGAACACCTCAGCATTGGTTCCCAACTTCTCAACTACTCGCCATTTTACCAAGGTGTCATCCCATATATGCCGCTCGCGGAGGATTCTGAGGAGATGTCAATTTCAATTAAGTCCAACTTGCAATTTAGGCCCAAAGAAACTTATTGCTCCATCGTAATAGCCGACCTAATAAGATTAGATGAGAGATACTACACATCAAGCTTTATTGACATTGTGACGACGTTTCGCCGCTGCGTCTGTGTGGCATCCTTGCGTTGTTGACGAAATAATGCCTTAGCTCGGTTGTATATTTTTGTCAACAACTCTCTCTGGCTGGCTAATCTGATGGTGAAAATATGAAAGTAGATTGACCTCTGCATGACCTCCTGCGGCGGCGCCTCGACGTCGGTGGTGGCGCGCCACAGCCGCAACGGATGTCCGTCTCCAACCTTCTTGCAGCACAGCTCCACATGCCCTGCAGCGCCCGACACCGACATCCAGCCCCTACTCCTGACAATTTACAGACTATTAGTACCATTATAATATAGAAATTGAAACATCGATTTTATCACATCGAGCGGTATAGTGAGATAAGGTACAATACACATTACATTTTAAAGAGAAATGGAAATTATTTAACATTGGTAACAACGTTTTTAATTGTAAAGGTATACTAACAACGCTTTAAAGACGATTATTTTAATATAAATTGTCACTTAAAAGACTTTTTGTACACAACTAAACATTAATCTAATTGTTGGTTAATTTTTTTTTTTATTTTTTTTTATTTTGACACAAAAATTTCATTCTTTTATTATTTATTTACAATTTTTATTATTTTTTTTTATTTTGTATATACAAACACAATACACATAACATCTACCAAAACAATTCTCTAGGGTTAATGATCAGTTCTTTATTGAAAATATAAATAATTATACAGAAATTTCAAGCAAACGTATTCTTTACAATTTTTATTACTTAACTCATTGAAACAAATCACAAAAGTACAGCATTAGATATTCAATAAAAAACTGACATGGCACACCGATCATATGCAAGGGAAAAACATCGCTCTAACACCCAAATCTCACCTCTTTGCCGATCGCCCACTGACTCTAAAAAAGCACGAAAATAGTTAGACTTTCTAGAAGTTAAAGAAATTCAGTCTAGGAGCAATACATGTTAAGATATATATTTATATAAATAAATTCTATTCATTCTTGTTTACGTTGTTACTATAATTTTAGATAAGTAAACTACGCAGATTCTACAAGAGTCAAGTTTAAAAAGTATAAGACGAGGAAACTTACTTTTCTTTGGCTTCTTTGAGCAATGCCTTGATACAGGCTTGTTGAAATCCTTTCCAGTCTTGGTTAAAATCTGCTCCTAGTTCTTCTAATGCGACCTACAATTATAACGTACATGATTCATCTAATCAACTCACAAAATTTTCGACCTAACAAAAGAGCAACTTGAAATAGCTATTTAAAGAATTTATATCCATTCTCCAATTGGAGTCCCTCAAATTAAAATTACAGCCTTCTTCACACCAATTACTTCTTTCTTAATCCTAATATCTAACCATTCAGCGATACATGAAAACTGGCTAATGTTGATCGGAGTTGAAGATTTGTTATCTATTAATTTTGTTACCGGCACGCTTTCTTCGAAGTAGTTGAACTTGCAACGAGCGAGCATGTCGGCGGGCGCCAGGAATAGTTGATGGTGACGCGCAATCAGCAGCAGCAGGCACGCGTGCGCCGCGCGGCTCTCGCTGATCTGACGCTGGTCGGCCACGCTTTCGATTATCATCCTGCCCAAAATAGAACCCAGAATAAAATAACCTCATATAAAAGTCACATAAAAAAGTTGATGATTACAATTATCTTCAATTCTCAAAGTTATTTGATTTGTAATTCCAACCTGTTTGAATTTCCTTCCTTAGTGCTACCAGTATGAGGCGGCGCATGATGCAGCCTGAGTAAGGTAGGCGCCAGGCATACCGCTAGGTTTGATGCTGTCATTTGATTAACTGCTGAATGTTCCGCTACCTGGAAATGAAAGAACATTTGTTAAAACAGCAGTCCCAATAATTACGTTTATTTTTGAAGATATCGTGAACGACGTACCTCAGAAAGGAATATTAACAGAGAATGCAAAGCTTCCAAATGTTCTTCTGGTAACAGCAGCAACGCGCACTGCACAGCGTCTGGCCTTAGAGGCTCGGGAACATCTGAAATAGTATCGAATAAATTATGAAACATTAGGTTGATTACAGAGTTAGAATAGGCGTAGAGATGACGTCACGAAGACAAAAATGAAGATTAAGGCGTAAATGTAAGCGTAGAGGTAGGATTCGAAGTAGTATTTGTAGTAGCCGAAGGGAGAAGCGTAGAGGTAAGCTTATCGGAAGGTGTATAATGATGCGTAGAGGGTAGCGTATATAGAGGGTGACATCAAGAAAACGTAAACGAAAACGTACTCCGCCACCACATACAGGAGTGTCTAACATGCAGCTGAACTCTCATAGGACGATTATAATAAAGCACAGTGATTGTACTTACGTTGGAATATCGCAATGAACGTCTCACTGAGTTTATTAGTGAGAAGCGCGTCGGGTAGCTCTCTGAAGTACTGCTTGACCAAGTCAGCGACGTCGTGCGCCTGCGCACCGTCGAAATTCAGGCTACACCTAAAATAGCAACACGGTACCGATTATTATTGTTTTCGTCACTCAGAAGTGTCTTTTGCATGATTTGAAAAATAAGATTTTATGATTACATTTATCGAGGATAAATTACCTTTCGACGTTAATATTCTCACTAGCAAAGGCAGCATTGGCTGCCCCTGCCGCCTCCACCATAGCGCGCAGCTTGGCTATCCGTGACTTCACGCCCGCTTTGCGAAATATACCCATCTGCAACGACAATGTACAAGAAGTTTATAAATCCTTTCTGCAATCTAGCAAAGTGATATGTAGTCTAAATTTTGGTCGATGTTTTTTGTAAATCTGCGTATGTGTGGATTCTGCTGTGAGTGATTTCTAATATCCTCCACATAATTCACTCATCTTCCAATATGTGTATTCAGTCTTAATATAAAAGAAATTACTAAAAGAAAATGTTAAAATCGTATGTTCACCTGATCCAATGCATTCGTTTTGAGCCAATTGAGCGCACACTGGATAGGCTTTGGCAACGAATGACCTGTCCTTTGCAGCGATACTGTTAGTGGTACTCCGAAAACAGTTTTGTCTGCAAATAAGATAGTAATATAAATTAACCTTGTAACGAAAGGTATCGAAAATTATTTTCCTGAACGAGGTTTATCTATAAAAGCGAATCTTTTTCATTTTGTTGAAATAAAACGATATACGTTTTAAATCTGATTAATTTACCTTTATAATCGGGCGTCTTGATTTTTCTAATAAGCTTGGGCAGTTCCCAGTTCCAGCCAGATTTGTGCGAGGGGCAATATCGTTCCATACACGCGGTCAAACGCAGCAGCGCTAACTTTCTCAGAATGTGCAGCTGTCCACAGGACAGTGATGACATAGGTCGCGAAACTGAAAAAGTTCAACATAGTTACTGTGAGTTACCACTCCCAGAATATTTTTTAAAACGTAATTAATTAATAAAAAATTGAACTTACGGTATGCTTCTGGGTCTTTCTGATTTGTTGCTGGCTGAAGAGTATTGTTTGCCTTAGGACCTCCGTTGAGAGTACTCGTTCTGAATGAATACCACCTTTGTATGTTGTTTCTGTGAAAAAAATTGATAGAGTGAAAACGAAAATGTACGAGAAGAATGACTATGAAAATCCAAATTGTAAATGCATTCAATCTGACTCAAACACCATCATTATCCATTATGTAGATGATTTTAAGGTTTTTAGTTTTTTGGTAGCTTTAACTTTACTTTTATGTTCCAAGTTTAAAAAATTTGGTACTACTTAATTTACATAGGAAGAAATTACTTTTTCGTCTTCAGATCCAGACTATCATCGTCGTCATCTTGATCACCATCATGCGATCTGGAGCCCGCGGAATTGGGGCTACTGTCTAACTCTGAACTTCTTGAAGCCGACTTATCTCTTTTGAGACTCCTATCTCGAAATCTGAAACAAATATTATTTTTTATTAACACATATAAATGAAGTAGGCGTAACCATTACGTAACCTAGAAAGCAACGTAATCGTCACACTCAAAACTCTTAATGTCGCTATTCCTATCGATCTTAAAACGTTCTTGGGACATACAAATACTTCCCTAATTTTCTTGGATTTATACTTTTAATGTGCGACAATTCGCCACATTTCAACTTGTATAACATGCACTAATAATAGCTTGTAGTCGTATCTTCATATATTTCAAATAACACTTTAAACCGCTGAATCGGTATACCTACCGCAGTATAATAGAATTTCAAACAAACGAGCAACATTAGTAGAATGTCGGAGCTGGGTCATTACCATATGTTACTTATTCCTCGCGCTCCGTAAGTCCATTATGTTTGAAATATATTCATTTAGTGTAATGGGGACTGGCCGCTGTGGCCATTATTCACTCTTAGCAACTATCAATATACAAAAATACATACTTATTGGTCTACCGATTGGTCTACTTAATGTCAGGAATTGAGTTTTGGACACTTTTGACATAAAATTAGCGATCGTCAATTTTCTGGCCTCAATCTTAACTAGTATCAATACAGTACTAGTCCCAACTATAGTGTAAAACAATGGTACGAGGTACAAATATTAATCAGTGCGTAGATAATTATTCAATTTAGGTTCGAAGCAATAAGTCAGTGGCCGTAAGTGACAAGCTTATCGCGCTGGGCGAACGCATGGTTCGCTTGATAACGCTGGCCGGCTAATCCTGTCCAACGAACTTGCATTTAGGTCGGTCATGTTGACACACATTCTATGAACCTGTCTAATACATATACTAATTTCATTACAATATAATGCAAACCAAAATATCAACATGAATTATGCCTTTTTGCTCGATAAAACGTTTTAAAGTTCAACTTTGTACTATAAACCTGATACCCAGAGTCATAAGTTCAGTTACAAATCACACTAATATCCCGAATAAAGAACTGTGTGGATTCCACATACTTGTGTGCCTCCTTGCCCAGGTTGAGCGAGCTGGTCCTAATGGCCTGGCGGCGGTGCGGCGTGTGGGCGGGAGACTGCTGCACCTCGCGCAACACTGCTGGGTCTGGCTTTAGATCCACAGGCGATGGAGGCTCCACGTATACCTGAAATAACATTAAAGTCTCAGTTATTGGCAGTTTATAATATCATATGAAAAATATCAACAATCACTAACCTCTGTATTATGATGATGAGCATTGAGCTCTTTATAGTAATTGTGCCTCCAACTAGCTGGCTGGCATTCAGAGTCACTAAGGGCGCTGGAATCATCACTCCTTAACCCCCTATGGAAGATTCTTTTCGCTCTCCCTAATTTGGATTTCGAACTCTTGTTGCTTGAACCCATGCTTCCATCAGACGCGTAACTAGAACTATCATCACCGAAAGGAGCATGAAGAACAAAAGATTGTTCTAGAGGTGCGATAGGGGATGGAGGCATAATGGTCATAGGAGAAGGAGGTTGGGTTCTAATCGCAGGAGCATGAGTAGGTGAACTATGAAACTCAGGAAACGGGAATTGAGTGGGTGATGTAGGAGTCATATCTATATAATTAAGATCGGGATATCTGTCTTGTTGTACATCTAAGAAGTGGGGAGAAGAAACTATCACTTCAGTTCTATTCTGCCTCTTTCTTCGCCGCGTCTTTAGAGATTCAACTCTCCTTAGCAAGGCTTTTGCTCCATCTCGGAGTCTCTCTGAACCTGTTCGTCTAAACCTCGTGCCCGTATCTTCTTCGTCTTCTTTATCGCTTGGTAACTGTATCATTGTTTGACCGGGTACGGTTAATCTGTAACAATTTTAATAATAACACATAAGAGCCTAAATTTTAGACTTGCAAATAAAATCTTTGAGGACGTAATTTGATTGTATTTTAATAAAACATTGTCAATTTTGAATTATTTTCAAATATTTCGATATTATGATGCATCCTTTTTGAAAATGTATTTCATAATAAATTGGGTAAGTAATTACAGGATTTCTCGTATCTTTTCAAAGTTATGCAGAACTTGCGCAAAGTACTTTAAAGTTTCAAACTTATCAACATAACAATGCAGATTGAGAAATTTCCTGGAACATTATTTTTCTCATATCACTTATTTCCATCCATAACAATATTAACTAGAATTGCTACAACAATACTGTTATACAAAAAGGTAAAACGAATCAATCATTTCGTTCAGCACTCCTTTTTTACTTCTCTCCACTCTTTTTAATTCTTGTAATGTGTCATTTTTTCCTCATAATATGCTCCAAACTACTATTTAGTTCCCTTATTATTTAGTACTCAAAAGATATTTTTGTAAACTACGATAGTGTTTTTTTTTAAATTGATCATTGTTACATATAAAAATACACTATGAAACAAATAACACAAATATGTCGCTTCAGTATGTCTCGTATTGAGTAAATCCCCCATCTCATGTAGGATCTACGACCGAGCTTAAGGTGTCTTGAAAGTATCTCCAAGAATAATAACTAAAATACGCGTAACAAAATAAAGGCGTTGACGAATGCATAGATGATGACATTTTAAACATATGGATGATGATGGACGAAGCACTATATAGAATCATACAAAGCAAATTAAAAATGGGTGCGGGCCCTGCGTGCGGTGCGTCCGGTGCCAATGGGCAAGTACCTTTAAAGTCCGCTGTCAGTCGACCACGCACTTTCTGTCCGACTATCATTACGATTTCCTTCGGTTTGGCAATCCCAAATGGAAACGTGATAGGTGAAGGGCTAAGTACCCAAATTGTATGTAGAACAAACAGTCGGGCAAGTTAATTACAGTCATTGTGTTGGTTTCAATGATGAGCCTTACGCAGTCACGAATTCCGTGCCTTGGATTATCGATAGAGTGTGGTCGAATTTAAATCTTATGTTGTTGAAGTTAAGATACAGAATTGTTATTGTTTGCATAATATCTAGTAGTAATCAGAAATAACGTTAACAAGAAGCTATTTAACGTGACATTTCTTTACAACATTTATGACGGATTTATTTAACTACGAAAAGATACTTAAGTTTTTTGGTTTGCGCATTATAAAAATGAAGTAGAGCGCGATCTTGAATTGTGCTACAAAAGTCTTGAAGTCTTAAAAAAAACTATGAAAAGGCATAAAAAGAAAATGGCACTTTTTAGAAAATAAATGTAATCAGCAAAAACAATTATTAAAAACAATAAAATCAAAACACAAGTGCATTAATAAAAATGACTGTTTTATATTTGACAAAGAAATGATGATACGCGTACTCTTTCGACATGCCACTTTACTCTTATTGGAGTGACGTTTAAAATGGGATGTTAGAAGAGTGTACCATAGACTATTAATTTTGACAGGCATCGTGTCTATAACCACAATACGATCGTCTATGGTCTCATGGTTAGCTTTGGGAGCATCAAATCTGTCGACTACGCCAAGATAATAGAGACAACTACTTTATATTGACCTTTCTTACAAGTGAATTATTCTGTAACGCTAACAAGATTCAGAGGTCAATAGGGGGTCAGTTAAAACTGGATGCTAAAGATAGATCCAGTCTTTTGTATCTAACATTTCAATCGACCCTTACGCAATCACTGGCCAATTATCCGTGATGCATTCAAACGGTTACTTGTCCATTAACACGATGGCTCCAATGATTAGGCTCTTTGTATTGAGAATTTATTAATTCTTTTATTCAGGCATTGATTGATTTAGTATTTCGTATTCAATTTATATTTGATTTTCAAACGATCTTAATGACGCTGGGCTTTTTTACGTTTGTTTGTTTATGAATCTCTGATTTTGATATATGAAACCATATCAAATAGCAATCTTCCTACGGTGATCTATTCGTGTTTATTATGTAGAAAATTAATATTGATCTCTATAAGATGAAGTTACTTCGAAAGTTCAGAATCAACTTTATTATTTAACCTAAGCACAATCAACATCATGTAGTAAAAGAAAATTCACATGATCTAAACTCTAGCAAACAATTAAGGCATTGTTGAGAAACTGTAAGACGAACAGAATGTCGGCGTTAGCTCTAACTTGAAACTTTAATTAACTACGGTTCTTTAACGTCAGGAATCTACGAGTACAAAATTAAAAATTACACATCAGGTGCACTACTCTACCATTTTGTTAATGCAATTTTGAAACAATTATGTTAAAAGTATCCATGTTTCGAAAATATTTTCAAACCAAAATTTGGTTTTGTTCTTTACTACTGGTTAAACCCACTCTGGTATTTGTTTCTATTGCAATAAAAAGCAACAATTTTTTTATTCCCAATAATTCTAAAGATATATTTATTACTTACAGATCTGGTTCCACATCTGTGTAGTGTCCATCGGCATCAACAAGGCCAACCCTGATGGTGGGTAAGGTCTCATCTTCGTCATCTTCTACTTCTCCCCTGGCTTCTCTTGCTTCTCGTTCCGCTAAAGCACGAGCTGCTATCACCTGCATAAAAATAGTTTCCATAATAAATTCAACGTTTACAATAGACCAAAAACAGGCTGTTAACCACGACCGAGAACAAAAAGACCACTTGAGATGAATGAGAGGAAAAGAGTCAATTGATTAATGACACATTTTTGGTACTTGATACATTTTTTCGTAGCGAACTTAGTGATGTCTTACTAAAGGAAGACGAAATCAAGTCTTAAGAATCGGTAGCATTCATAAACTAATATAAATATGTGTAGCGAAGCGTTAAAAGAACTGTACTGGGATTGTTTCAGCCTGTTTTATGCCTTTACTCGTGAACCTGCTTACCTGCAGCCGCCTCTGCGCTTGTGGAGTGATCTCCACTACCCGTGACCATCGTCTCGACTTCCTCTCGTACTGCCAGTGCTCGCTTAGAGCACATTGCTCGTCGTCAGAATCGTTCTGTAAGCAAATAAACATTTTAAAGATTAGTTACTTCTGTCTGTATAAAGTTCACACCATGTTTTGTATACACCTTATCTTTTCTTAAGTTACATCTGTCGTGTAATTTTACTCTTTGTATATTTTCATTTGTCTAAAGTTACTTACTATAATATTTTGACTTTTTCTTTTGAAGGAAAGTAACAAGGGATTTTATAATATTTAGTTTCTTTCCTCGTTATAACAATGTTGTTTTACTCAAGGGTATATAGTTTTTTTCTCAAATAAATTTTTTAACGTAAGACCAATAAAAGTACGAATACTATTAAATATTCAGATCTCAATAAAATTCTTTTAAACATTTTTCTTTTACTGTTTAATATTATGAGAGAAAGCTTCACACAAATTGAACAGCTAATATGCTGAAATCCGAATAAAATTCTTAATATAAGGGAATACAAAACACTCATCACTTCTCCGCTCGAGTGAAGCCTTCGGGGAAATCAATGGTAATGAAAACTGGAGTTGTTATTAAGCCATTTGAACGCCCTCTAGAGTTTAATACGCAACCTAAGTGTTGTATTAAATCGTGTTTCACAAAAAAAGATGCTGTTGGAATATAAAAGAGTTTCTATTACTAGTTTAAATTACGTTAACTAATACTGATGAGTGCAGTATGTTAAATCTATATTATTTTTTTACTTATGTTCACAAGTAAACTTAAAGGCCACAAATGGATAGCAAGAAAAGTACTGTCGCGTGAATAAAATTTAAAGCAACTCATTGAATTCTAAAATATAGACCATAAAATGTCATGCGATACATGAATACACTTTACCGCTTGACTGTACTCGTAATGGTTAGATACACTAACGATTTAATAAGTATATGAATTTGCGTTGCTGATACTTTACGCATGCCAATTTGTCGCGATGACGAATGGAAAATAGGGTTTACGATTTCTTGCTCGATGTTTAACTAATCATTGTATAATCAAAAATACAAGTGTTTATAATAAATTAAAACAACGATGAGAGCTTTTGAAACAAACTAAATGGGAAACCGATTTTTTTTACGTAATAACAACAGTCTTGTATATTTGTAAGACTGTTTTCTAAGAAATAGCTACAAACTCTTGATTTCAAGGAAAAAGTAATGCTGAAGATCCTTTTTCCTTAAATAAAATAAGGATAAGAACAGCTTACGCGGTAGAACAAAGCCGTGATACTGAAAGCTCGCCTTCACAATGTTACGGTATTACTAAACCTATGATTAGAATATCAGAAACTATAATCACACAGCGTAAGCGAAACGAAGCAGAAGCGAAGCGAAGCAAAATTTAATATGACTATGGCATCATTATCAGCTCACTATACATCCCCACTGAGGGGCTCAGAGCCTACCCAAAATAAAAGGGTGATTAGGCCATAGTTAACTACGCTGGCCAAATGCGGATTGGTTGACATCACACATATCTTTAAATTTCTGCTCAGATATGTGCAGTTTAGGTCACGATGTTTTCCTTCATCGTAAGAACGTGGGATAAATGTACATATGTAAATCGGAAATCGAAAAAACACATTGGTACATGGCGGGATTCGAACCCAGGACCTACAGATTGCAAGTCAAGTTCTTGACCCCTGAGCTACCAACGCTCCTGTGACTATGGCATAGTCACCCCTAACTTAGGGTAGGCTCCGAGCCCCTCAGTTTGGACGTATAGTGAGCTGATTAATATGAAGCTAGCAAAAATTACTTCGTTGCGCCGAACCATTTAGCAGACAGTTGCTTTGTTTTCGAGCTTTAGTCTCTTGCAGTTATGCTTTTTGTCGCTATGTATCGCTTGCGATTGTGTGCTACAGACTTAAAGATAAATGCGACTAATAGACTATGAAATTTCGTAACTTCTTAGGATAAGATACGATATCAAAAGACTAAGTTTTCAATAGCCATGAATCATTCGGATTTACGACCTGCTATTGTTTTTAAAGCTTTTACATTTGCATCAGGCGAATATTACGCTTGCTTATTTATGTCCGTTATTTCTCTATCAGTAGTGCCTTAGGATATACATAACATGTACACGGAATGTAAAAACCAAAAATAAAAATATTCTTGCATTTTTAAATTACTAGCGGTCGCCCGCGCCTCTGTCCGTGCGGAAAAAAAATTAGTAGCCTATGTTTTTTTCTAGAATATGTTCTATATGTATGCCAAATTTCATCGAGATCGTTGAGCCGTTCTGCAGATACCTTCAAACAAACATGAATCCATCCATCTAAACATTCGCATTTATAATATTAGTAAGAAGTAAGATATGAATGCGTTTAAAATTGATATATATTAGAAACTAAGCAATCCCAGATATCACGTCATCTTTCCAATGAAATTATTATTGGATTCCTAAAGTGGAAAAAACATCGATTGAATGATTGTAAGTTCCTTAAGGATAAAAATCGTTACTTTTCCTTCGTCTGAAATGTATGTTTTAATTAACTACATGTAACATCATTCAAGCTTTCGTTTACTCTTCAATATTTGCTAAGGCAAAGTACAGATGTAAAGGAATTTAATTAGAGACCGCCTGACTGGGCAAATCAAGTTGCCGACCAAGTACCAAAGGCTTAAGTTATTCTATTTGAGTAACAAAGGGAAAGCGGTGGACAAATATAATTCTGACACAATACCGACTTCTAATCTTATTCCTTCAATGTGGGTCGTATGTGTTTACGTATAAGTATATTGAAAGCTTGAGAATCTAAAATTGAAACTGACACAAAAATGATTTTTTTTTAGAAGAGATTTACAAATTTATATTTTTTATTATATTGTAAGTCCAGATGTCTGACATTCGCGGTTTAGAGCAGTGGATACCAGTCATCATCATCAGCTCACTATACATCCCCACCGGGGGCCTCGGAGCCTACTATAAGTGAAGGGTGAATAGGCCATAGTCAACCACGCTGGCCAAGTGTGGGTTGGTCGACTTCACGCATATCTTTGACTTTCTTTCTCGGATACCAATAGCACCAAGCAACATTTTAAGCAGCAAGCAGCAGCTGATATTTATCAATCGCTCCTAATTGAATCCTTAAATAAATAAAGGGATCAATCAAGACCAAAATCTCCGTTTAAAACATTGTTTAGTCAAAGAATTCAACGGCAAGTGATTTCACATACCGTTGATTTCTATGTTTCATATCTCCTTTCTCCTGTTTATAAATCGAGTAGATATTTTTAAATCAAATTTCAATATAACTATTGTAATATGTTTTATAACTTGTTCAAAATTATAACAGTTATGTAAACATGATATTCTGGTCTTCACTTCGCCCCTCTTTCCGTGGACTGATTACATTGAGTAATGGCTTCGTCGCCGACACCTAAATGAAGAAGATAGGCGTTCCGAACCGTCAACGCGCCGTGGGATCTTTTGAGTTATGCTAGTTTCACACGGGGGCAGAACAGTTAGAGTGCAGTAGGACAGTTCAGTACCTCTATTGTTTGAAGACATATATCGAGACAGAACAGATAATTGTTTTGGCTGCAAAGATATTGACTCGTACATTATCAATACTGACGATTATGAATAAAACTAGTCCCTCCCTCCGATCGGAATTAAAAAAAAAACATAATTAGTAGCCATGTGTATGCCAAATTTCATCGAAATCCGTTTAGCAGTTCTGAAGATACCTTCAAACAAACATCCATTAATCCATCCATCCAGTCATCCAAAAAATCGCATTTATAATAATACTAAGATATTAAAAGGAAAGAACTCATATTGTCCGCTGTATTAGTAATTTATTTGAATTTCTTTCTTTATCAGTAAGTGTGTGCAACAATAGTATTGCACTATTTTAGTCTACGTCCATTTAGTTTTACCCTCGTGTGAAACTGACATTAATGTACCGAGTAAATTGAACCTGTTACGACCGAATTATGCATCAAAATCGAGCCCTCGATTCATTGTAATTGATTGCGTCGCTTCGAATTATAAAGTACAGTCAACTTGATTTAGTTATTGAATCAACATTAAAATTGTGTACATAATTGGTTGACACGTTTAAAAATAAACATTACGATGTATTTTTTTTAATTTACAAATAAATACTAATGCAGTTAAATCTGGTTACTAACGATTATTATGGAGGTTAAAAATTACCATATTGCTTAACCTTTAATACATGTATCAAAACGGGCAGTTTACTTCTGAATACCATATTACCAATGTGGTCAGTAAAAAGCATCAACTCTTTTTCCGTTATCTTTAATAAGATTTTTAAATAACTTTTTTCAAGGATTGTTTTATATTATAAAGTGATAAATGAGCAAGCGGTCAATTGAATTCGCCGAAGAGACACAAACGTTGCTAGTGGATATCTACCACTGCGTTGTCTACTTTTAATCTACGGAGGAGGGGACACATACAACGATCAAATTTCTCCTTCCTATGCGTTCCCTGTTCTGCTAGATCCACTTCCTCTTCCCTTTCAGAAAAAGGTGGAAAGGGATAGTGGACTAAAATTCGATCTCCAGCCCACGGTAATTGGTCTAAAATTAGGCATTTGCTTCATGACTTGTTCATCAGTATAGTTAGCGCTTAGTTAACATTATTGCCAAGTCCCTGCGGCAATCATTACATCAACATGTATGCTTTTAACGATTAAAGTACTGACGAAACTTGGTTAGTCGATATTACCTCGTTATTGCATGATTATAGCTAAATTACGTATCATTACTACGGGCAATTTAACTCAAAGCATATTACGAAAGAGCGTCGGTGGCTTAGGAGTTAAAGCACTTGACTTGTAATATGCATGTCCTGGGTTCGAATCCCGCCATTTACCAATATGTTTTTCGATCGTGATTTACATATGTACATTTATTCGACGTTCTAACGGTGAAGGAAAACATCGTAATGCAACCTGCACATATCTTCGAAGAAATTCAAAGATATGTGTGAAGTCAACCAGCTTGCAGTGGGCCAGCGTGGGTGACTATTGCCTACTCACTCTTCACTTAGGCTATATGGTGACGTATTGTGAGCTGGTGATGATGATATTACGAAATTGCACAAAACTATGAAATTTTAAATAAAGACAACAGAATACAAAACAAGTGCTAATAGCGTTGAATATGGTCTAATCCCTGATGACTTAAGGAAGACCCCGAGACCCTCAGTGGGGACATATAGTAAGCTAATCATAATGAAAAAGCTAATAAATATATTAATTTGACATACTTCAATATCTTATTTCTCTCTGCAACACATCTCATCAACTAAAAAATAGTCAAACCTTTTTAAATTGATAGAAAAATCACCTTACAAACGTTACTACTTACTTTAGAAGCTATCTCCAGAACATAGACTGGAAGAAGAACATAGAAGAAATAGGTTACTAATTAATTTTTCAACCCCGCGCGAACAGAGTCGCGGGCGACAGCTTATATAGGCACTAACCCAAATATCTCTAATAGCTTAAGATAACCCATATGACTACAGGAACGATTAAACCAATTTTATTTCTCGGTATAAGAAAACGTTATGTCTTTAGCTTACGTAGTTCGGTTATTAATCCCTCTTTTATAGCAGAGGGGTAATTAAAGAAACTGCCGTTTTATTGCTTTTCTACTTTCCAACGAAAATCGAAAGCATTTATAACGTTTATGCTTTCTTGCCTCAGGCTTACGTTAACATAGTAATTATGTGTTTTACCTATGATATTTCTTGAACGAAACAGACTTTAGTTAAAAGCTACTAAGGTAATTTTTCGCAACATTTCTACTGTCTTGAATATTTTATGACTTAGATTGATTGATAGATGACTACTGCATCACATATTCATCATCATCATCAGCTCACTATACGTCCCCACCGAGGGACTCGGAGCCTACACTAAGTCAAGGGTGATTAGGCCATAGTCAACCACGCTGGCCAAGTGCGGGTTGGTTGACTTCACACATATCTTTGAATTTATTCTCAGATATGTGCAGGTTGCATCACGATTTTTTCCTTCACCGTAAGAACGTCGGATAAATGTACATATGTAAATCAGAAATCAAAAAACACATTGGTACATGGCGGGATTCGAACCCAGAACCTGCAGATTGCAAGTCAAGTGCTTGACCCCTGGGCCAGTGACGTTGTCTTCATCACATATTACTATTTGCTAATATTATAAATGCGAATGTTTGGATGTTTATAGGGATGAATTGATGGATGCATGTTAATAAGACGAGGATGGAGGAAGATCGAAAGCCCAAAGCAGCATATCTCGGGACCCCGTCTGGCCGCCGAACCATCGGTCGGCCCAGGTACCGCTGGCGAGATGCCGTAGAGCTTGATCTGCGGGAGCTACAAGCGATGGACTAGCAGGAGAAGGCGCAAGACAGGCGACTTTGGCGATCTCTTGTGTCGGAGGCCAAGACCAACTTTGGGTCGATGCGCCAGCGGAGTAAGTTAGTTAGAAGCTATCTCCAAAACGGTTGCATGAATCTAGCTGAAATTTAGCATTAATTATTTGTTGGAGTCAACAAATTAGCGCAACAAAGGATTAAAAAGTTCTCCTATAGCTTTCTCAGCGATGTTTTCTTTTTTTTTTACTTGTTCCTCTAATAAATTCTTATTAAGAGGAATACTTAAATCACATAGAGAAAGGTACAAAGACCTGTATTTGTTTGGCAGAAACGATAATGTTTAGATTTTGTGTTAAGTGGATAGCAATTCCTAATTCTACGATAACTATTAAAAGCGAAGTGCTTACATAAAACTTATAGACCTGCGTAAAGCTTATGACGCCATTCAAAAGAAAGTTGTTCATGTTACTTTGATAAGGTTCTACAAAGCTAAGTATTGTCAATTAGTAAAATAA